TGGTGCAAAGGTACCTCCTTTACCCTTTGCAATCTCCTTGTGAAGGAAGACGGCATTCACAATTGCAATGTCCATGAAATGTGAAAAGAAGGTTTTATACCACTTATGGATTCTGTTGAGGACTTTGTGAGCAATATATACCAAAACATGATTATCTATAGGACTTTAGGATTTTTATTTTTCAAACAGCCTTGTGTCTCCCTTGTGAAAATGAATAGATAACAGTTAGTAATTACAAAATTGGACAAACTTTCACATACTTTTTGTGTTACCCCAGAGTCACCCAGATACACACCCCTCCCTGAGGGCGCGGTCACACTGGTCATCTGTACCGTGCTGTACTCAAGCACGATTGCCCCCCTGCTGCACCATTCCCACGCTGGTGCAGCAGTGGGGGCACGGTATGGATGGCCAGTGTGCCCTTAGGGTGCGGTCTCACTGGCCATCCGTACGGTGCCCAAGCACGCTTCAACACTAAAGTCCAGTTCGTTTGGCCAGTGTGACCACGGCACACTTCCTTGGCTTTGGCACACTTCGGAGAGGTGTGCTTCGGCACGGTACACTTCATGGACGAGCACAAGCACGCGGATACACAACGCTGACAGCCTTCATTATGGAGAAATCCAGAGTTTCATGGCTGTATCTGACTAACATGACTCAGTATAAGACACAAAGTAGCTGTCATGTTCTGTGTTGTTTTCCGATGTGCGGGCGTCCGCGTAGCCAAGTCCGTGCGTGAGTCCGCTTGGACGCCCGCACATCGGAGAACAATTAATTTATTTACTGCTGTGTCTGATTAAAATGGCTTAAAATAAGCTGTGAAGTCAGTAAAGTAGCTGTCATGTTCTGTGTTGTTCTCCGATGTGCGGCTGCGGACTCGCCTGTGGACTCGGCCGCGCGTCTGTTTTATTTTTTAATTTATTTATTGCTGTGTCTGATTAAAATGGCTTAACATGGCTTAAAATAAGCTGTAAAGTCAGAAAAGTAGCTGTCATCTTCTGTGTTTTTCTCTGATGTGCAGACGCGTCTCTTTCTCTCTCTCTCTCTCTCTCTCCGCCTGTTTGTAAACTGAGCACGCTCCATACATAAAGCGTGCATGTGTTGTATTACGACGTTATGTACAGCACGGTACAGATGACCAGTGTAAGGGACCAAAGGTAACAACTTAGGATACACACCCCTCCCCCACAGATCAACAGTATCACACCTTGAGACACTCAAAGGAGAGAAAGAGGCACAAACAACTCCCTCCCTCAAATAGCTCGGAAGACTCTGCACGTACACAGTGAAAAAAAATCTAATGCGTATTCACAATTCAAACGCTAAAACTATATAGATATTTTATAAATCTATTATGACATTAGATATTCTCAGATGTACCTCACTTTGGACAAAAGTGTCTGTTAAATTAATTGTAGGATACTTTGTTGTCCCCAGGGGGAATTTGCCTTTGGCAAAATTGCAAATAAATACACAGCTCTGTGCAACGGAATAAACAACCATAAAAAAAATCCAAAATCATACTAAATACAAATAAAAAAAAACTAAACCTGACATAACTACAACAATTACAAAAGTTAAAGACATGTAAGTTGTATATAATAAGATACTCACTTGTCCAGAGTAACGTCTTCTCCTTCCAGAAACATTGCTTCTGCGTCATCAACGGAGATAATGCTGTCCTCTGACCATTTTTCCCCTGACTCATCACGGCATCTAGTGCATTCCTCCACAGCCTGTGATAGTGTAAACTTAGTTTTTTCCTTACTTTTCGCCATATTTCTTCCCGAAATCCTTCAAAGTATTCAACAACCGACTTTCTGACGCTAGAACTACTAATACGCACGGAGAGCGCATAAAACACAACACGACTTGCGCACGTTGGTATATGTTTTGTTTTCTGAGCTATCCATGGAAGCCGCATATTATCTTTTTCGTAATTTTATTGGCTACAAGACTGGTCAATTATTTGCATAATCGCTTGTAATTGGCTGGGGCTGTATACATGAGAAGAGAGGTAGGTACCTCTCTTTGACCCCGGCCCTCTGGCTATTGAGGGGGCTAGGCACTGAATGGAAGGTTGTTATTTGCTAAATGAGGTGTCAATCGAAAGGTCAGACTTCAGTCTCCAGTTTGCTACATCACAATAGCATATTTTCGCTTGTATATGTAAAGTATTACAGATAATACCGTGGAATATTGTGAACTGACGCGACATATATGAAATTATATTACAGCAACTTGTGGACTTTTATGGATGTAATCATGTGTTTGGACTACTTTTTTCACTGAATTTAAATAATGTGGACCCTTGCTGATAAAGCAGCACCGTTTCTATTGGGATATTATCATCAGAGATTTATACTACAACTTCAGAAAGTAAGTTGCGTCACTTCTATACAGCGCCGCCCCTCCCTACACGCAGAACATTCATTGGGGGCGGCATTTTGCGCAAGGGGACGCATTCTCTGCAAATGGGCAAAGGATGCGCATCGCTGCCGTGAGGCGCGCGTAGAGCACAAAGTCAGCCCGTAGGCAGGAGAGAAAAAAAAGAGACGAGTAATCTGACACCGCACGCGTTGCCGCAATGATTGACAGCACGCAGCATCTGACAATCGGCAGTCAGATGCGCCAACAGGCAGTTGGATGCAGGTGGAGAGATGGCCTCCAAACGGCAATATGAATCGGGAGCAAGCAAAAGAAAGAAAAAGTCAAAACCAGAGGAGGCTCGTGCTTCACTTGAAGGTATGTTGTTGAAATAAAAAAGGAAAACTTTGTGGCAACACCCCAGCTGCTATTCTGCTAATCATGAGACAGAAGAGAGGATCATTCTGTCTAGATGTGGACTGGAGACTAAATGTTCCAGCGGCCCTGATTATCATTTATTGAATGTCTTGTTAACTGCATATACATTTACCTCTGTTGAAAAAGGAGTGGTTCATTGACCAGTTGGTGGTCGTATGTTGGCTCAGGTTTATAGCCTATCAATCTATGATATCAATCGAAGTTTTGGGCTATTTTTATGGCGGTAAAATGTCGCCATCTCGATGAATTTAATTCATAACAGTCATATAAGATTAGATAAAATCAGATAAATTAAGATAATATTTTATTTGACCCACAATGGAGACATTTAAAGCGTTGCAGCAGCAAACAGCAGTGTAGGACTATAGACCCTAAATACAAAATGTAAAAATAAGTATATAAAAATATTTAAATATAGAAATATCATCAAATCAAATCATAATGAATATTATTATTAGTTGTAGTTGTAGTTGCATTAATTGCATTTCAATCTTTGTGAGGCTAGTATTTACATTCATTTCATTGTGTAATTTACCATTAAGACCAAAACAAATCTTAATAATCTGCTTGTATGATGGATTTCTTGTCATAACAGGGTCAATGCTAAAGTTTGTTACTAAGGGTGACACGGAGCCAGCGCCCAGTACGTCACAAGGGCCATCAAGCACCACGTCTACTGAAGCAGCCTCACCCAGCACGTCACCCGTCACTCATCAAAACACACCTCCGCTCATCAATGGCGCAAGAACGCTTGAGTGGCCTGGCTATCATAAGCATCAACTCAGAAGTGGCACAGGAGCTGTCATGTGACGACCTCATTGATGACTTTGCATCCAGAAAATGCAGACGTGTGCATCTGTAAAAGGCTTGTTCCGTTGTTGATAGAGGCTGTTCATTTGATTTGTTCCTACTAATAAAGGGTGTAAACCTAAATGGCATTTCGTGATACAGTCATTTTGTAATGGGGGGGGGCCTCAAAATAAAATTCTGCTTAGGGCCCCAATTTGGCCAGGGGCGGCCCTGCTTCTATAATTGTTTGTTTGTTTGTTGCTGGTCTAATAGATGATTATATTGTGGTTGCTGTGGTGGTTGAATCTTAAAATGGTTTATATTTATGGAAGAACAGCAAAAAATCCTTCTGGCGATATAGAGCATGTAGCATGCTTCAGCACAGCTGTTGTGTACATGACACATGGCGGACTGTGCACGGTCTTTGATTTGCATCTTTAAGATCAGCAAAGTCTCAGTATTAGGCTTAATTATGATTATAATTATTATTATTATAGCCAGCAATACATTATGTCCAATTTAGAGAACAGGTAACCAAGGCAAGACTTTTCTAGAATAACAGGATTCGCAAGACTTTACTGAATGACATGGCTTTTGTGATTTTCCTTGAAAATGTTTGCTACACTTACACCTGCTGGCCAGAGGGTGGCAGTATATGGGCTGACTTGCTCAAGTCCAATGGAGTGGCTGATGTGAGACAATTTCATCAAAACTCTTGCATTTAGCAGAAAAAAACTGCTTTTGAAAAGTTGTCCACTGTGATCTCAGCTCCAGCTCTTAAGCCTGTTAGGAAGAGATAGACCAAGTAATAGTCACACCAAGGTATTTGAAGGAGTTAGCAATCTTGGCTGTTGCCTGATTTTAACTTAAAATGAAGCTCAGTGCAAATTCAAGCAGGAAGTACGTTTCACACCATAAATTTAGTCATTAAAACTCCACCTCAGTCACCCCCAATTCATCTCTTCAGTGTATGGGTTGAGTTCTTTAGACGTCAACATTGTTCTGTAATACTTGTAACACTCTTACAACTGTTTCCACCTCCACACACCCCAAAAAAGAAACCAAAAAAACGTATATACAATGAAATAGAAACATAATTACAGAATATGTTTTAAAATGCAAACAGGATTTTGAGAATGCTCTCTTGTCAATTTTTCTCTTCTATTCTATTTGATGAATCAAATATTGTCTTTCTTGGAGGAGCCCTGCAGCGCCAATGTTTTGTAATTGTTATGTAATCTAACTGCTGCTGTATCTCCCCTCCCCTCTCTCAGTGGTGTGATGTCAGTGCTCTGCTCCTCACTGCATGAACACCACCTCTGTACTATGCAGCGTCATAACAGGACCTGTCTTTCTATTGGTGCTTCGGACCTTGTGTCCCCTTTCCACTAGCTGAAAGCCACGCCCCTATTGGAGGCCCTGTGTGAGTTGGAGAGAGAGAGAGAGAGGGACTGCATGTGTGGACTCTGGTCTATTGAGGTAGTGGTGGTTACATGCTACAACTATGGATCAGAGCTTGGTAAGAATTAACTTTGAATTGACTTCCTTGTTAAATATTTCCACTACACAGTTTGTATTCAGTAAGTAGTATAACTGTCATGTATTATAAGTAATTCATAATAAATTATTGCTTTTTATATTCTTAATGTCCAAGCTGAACATGGTATTTGTGTTACAGGTGATCCCGGTGGTGGCAGCTGTTTCTGTGGTGGTTGTGTCTGCACTGTACTTCCTGCTACGAGGCGCTACAGGAGAGAAGAAGAAGAAGCTGCCCGTCACTTTGCAGGATTCTACTGTCAAATATCCCCTGCCGCTCATACACAAAAAGGTACACAGCATAAGGACACACACTTGACAAAGCCTTTTGTTTTGCAGTCACATTAACATTTTAATCTGTTAACAAACATCATATTCAACCAATATGTTACAATGCTGCAAAAGTAACAATGCTACACATTGGGCTGGACTAAAGGAGATCTGACATCATCTGTTGTCATGTTTGTGTTTTTACCCTGTACTGAAATGATGAAAAGTTTAACAGTTCAACCCTATTCGTTTTACTGTTATTGTGGACAAATAAAGCAACAGGAACCATTTAGCATTGGACACATTAACCACTGAAGCCCATATATTATATCCTCTTTCTCTGAATGTCCTCTTGTCTTATCTGGCGTTTACAGCAGGTTCAGGAGAGGTGAACTGAACTGGATTTCATTGAATGTTTGATGACATTTTGTAGAAAGTGTGTGTGGAAACAGGTTCAAAACTTAAAGCTAAAAATGCACCCTACAGTCAACACTCTGAGTTGTCAGTTACCTGTCCTGCAGCTCAGCATATTACAGCAAACAAAGGGGGTGAGCATGGCATGCTGCAGGCCTCTTAATTGCTCATGTGTGGCCTGACAAGTTAAAGTCAGGAGGAGGCTTAAAGGGGCAGTGAGATCTGCAACACATTTCGATTGATTAATTCAAACTCAAGCGTCTCTCAACAGAAACATAGTCTCTGCTGATACACATGATCCAAAGAACACAGTCATTCATTAAATGTTTGCATAGTGTTGTTTAAACTGCTTGAATAAAACCAACTCAATTAATTACAAATGTTCCTTTAATCTAGTTTCTAACACCCTGCAGGGCTGCACTGTATGGAGAGTCTCACTCCAGCTTGAAACTTCATCAAGTTAGAGTATGTTGATGTTTTTTTTTATCACAGAAGATAATTAATCCATTCTAAAAGAAAATGTCTTGTTTATGTTCAGGAAATCAGCCATGACACAAAGAAATTTCGGTTTGGACTTCCATCTGCAAATTGTATCCTCGGACTACCAGTAGGTAATGAAACATCTTCAATCTCTATTCTTTTCTTCCACAATAAAATATGTTCAATCTAGAAAGACTTTTCTCTAGTGTTTTAAGGTGTTTAAAAGTATATGGGTGTGACGCACTCATTTACAAACTTATGCATGAGCAGCAGTTTTTTTGTGACTTTGTACCGCTGATGAATCACCAGCCGCTCAGGCCTTGTGTTGACCTGACTTAACCCTATCCATGATGTTTAGGATGTTGTAAAGCAATAAATGGGAATGAGAGATGAGATTACTCGCTATACTATTTGTTAAAAAATCCATTCATTCATCTACAACTAAGAAACGGAGCAATTACAATTCCTCTTCTCCAGATATAGCAGATGCTGGTTTGTCAGAGAGTCATTCCCAAACTTCCCCTTCAGTAGTAATTCAAGCTCCTCCACTTAAGTGGTGAAAGATCTACAGCTTGTTATCTATCATAGTTTAGTTTAGTTTAGTTTAGTTTATTTTAGTTTAAAAATTTTTGAAAGAAGAGTCAAACAGAAAATTATAACAAATAAAAAATAAAACACATGTGCAGGTGAGGTAGAAACACATGAGGGCTTATCTCAAAACCTCACCTTAAGAGATTAAACAAAGTTAAAATAAAATACAGTAAAAATAACAAAGTATGAATATTTTCTTTCACAAATAAAAATTTCCCAATTGAAAGTTACATATAAACATTGAAAACATACAAATAGAGCAAAGCAGGACATGTAGACAATATAACAAAATCAGGACAATTCACTATTCACTAAAAGTCTTTCTGACATCAACGCATTTCTGAGTCTCAATTTGTATGTTGAAAAAAACAAAAAATCATTAAGTAAATAAAGATGTGTGTTCCATAATTTGACTCCACAGTATCTTATTGTTCATGCTTACACACTTTATTTTTTCATTCTCTTATTTCCTTGAATCAACCCCGCGACCTCTTTTCTCCCCTGTCCTCTGCACCAGGTCAGCATGTGTACCTGTCAGCCAAGGTGAACGGCAGTCTGGTGGTCAGAGCCTACACCCCAGTGTCCTGTGATGATGACCAGGGTTATGTAGACCTTGTGGTCAAGGTAATTCACAATACTGACCAGAAGCACAAAAAACACATCAAATTAATGTATATTAAATACTGTAATTAAAAAAACCCATCTGATCACAAGTAATTAGCATCAAAAACACATGAAAACAAATAATCTCCATCCTTTCAAAGCACATAAATTAAAACATTTGAATGTGTCAGTAATAGATTACACTTTTTTACGGAGCCCCTGAAGTCCCTGAAAGTAAAAAAAAGAAGTCTTGTTACCACAAGTGACTATGTTTAGCACACAAGACTTTTTTTCTTTTTCACTTTTTGGAACTTCAGGGGCTCCATACTTTTTCTTTCTTTTTTAATACACATAAACATTAATCATAATAAACATGAAAAAACAGCACATAAATACATATTGGTTATTTTGTATGTTTACGTTGCTGTAGGCTGTAGATCGGTATTAACTATTCAGGGAGAGTTTATAAAAAGTGCTAATAAGTCTTTCACTTAAACTTCACAGGTTAGATGTCAGTCACTACAAATACTCCTTCATGGTATTGTACTTCTTTATAAAAATGTAATGAATTTCTTTCTTTCCAAAAGGCCATCACATCTGTCTGGACAAATGTTAATAATCATTCATAACACACATGTGAGCCAGACACTTTGCAATGTCTTGTGACTAACTTGATTGAGTAGATTCAAGTGCATGACATTCAAAGATAAATACTAGAGTTTAAAATCCACCTACAGAGTATTTAACAGCAGACAGTCAAATGCAGACACCAGCCGGTGAACATCTTGGAGCATTTAGTATCTAAAGAGCCAGATCATTTTCCCCAGAGTTGTACTGATGAAAACCAGGAAGCATGACTCTAATTGAAATTCAATGATGCTCTGTTTCTTCACTATATGCCAACACATTGGCTTATGACATGTTATATTATGATAATAAGTCAGTGTCCCTTATTTCCTTACTGGGAAAAAGGTGGTGCAGTTGAGGCAATAACAATCAAATAAGAGAGAAAATGGTTTTATCTCCTCCAGGTGTACTACAAGAACAGCCACCCCTCCTACCCAGAGGGAGGAAAGATGTCTCAGTACCTGGACAACATGGCTATAGGGGAAACTATTAACTTCAGAGGACCCAATGGACTGCTGGTGTATAAGGGGAATAGTATGTTGTTTGTGTCTGAACCAATAAGAAAGACGTTTGCCAGCAGATGTCACTGTGGTACAAAATAAGCTGAGTTGTGTTAGCTTCAATAACTCTGACTGACATTCACTCTCTCTTCATCAGGCCAGTTTTCCATCCGACCAGACAAGAAGTCAGAGCCAAACGCTCGGAAATTCAAGCACCTCGGGATGATTGCTGGTGGAACAGGTTCTGTTATCTTTTAAATCACTCAAATGTACATTTGTGCATATTCAGGGGAACATCACAGAAGCTCAGCAGGCTGAAATCTCAGCAGAAGTAAAACTCTTATGAGGGAGAATAGAGGTCATTCTTTAAGTCAACCCATAAATCTTGATACCTTACACCACACAGTACCTGCTGTATAACTAGACTGTGTAAAATAATACAATTGTTTGACTATATGACTTAGGATATCATGTAAATGGCACCCATAGTTGTCATGTGAGAATATTATTTTAATTTTAATAATCCACTCAAGACAAGAACCATCCTCTGAGACCACCCTCACTGTCTTTTTCCATCACAGGTATCACTCCTATGCTGCAGTTAATCCGCAGCATCACAGCAGACCCCACTGACAACACCAAGTGCTCCCTCATATTTGCCAACCAGGTTTGTTCTTTGTGGCATAATGCCGTGGGGAAATCTTATTGTTGCGGTGTATGATTGTACATTAATAAAATTCTCAAAAGAAATCAAATCCATTGTCCCTACTCCCTCTCAGACTGAGAAGGATATCCTGCTGAGGGAGGAGCTGGAGGAGGTGCAGAAGAACCATCCTGACAGAGTTCAAATCTGGTTCACGCTGGACAAACCTCCGCAGGGTAAGGAGGACATTTCTTCAATTTACAAAAGATTTCAAAAAAATTAATGCCCCTGTGAGGAGAATTTAACTGGTTATGATACAGACTCAAATGAAGACCTATGTCTCTAAAGTAATAGCACTAAGATTAACTATTTATATATTGTATGGTTTAATGCCTGCAACTGCAGCTACAATGACAGCACACTGAAGGAACTGTTTTTTTGGTTTTTTAAATATCACACAGTAAATATTCACAGTGGGTGAAACATTTTATTGATAAAAGTGAACAGGATGAGATTTAAAGTCAGAAAACTCCTACACATGAACAAGACACCGTCTGTAAAGAAAGTCCGGAGACCTTTGAGCTTTGACTCATCAGATTACCAAAAAAACAAAACTGTAAATATGAGCTAAGTTTGCTCTCTAGCTGCTGGATGTCTTTAATTTGAGAAAGCTCATTGCTCGCTGACTGCTTAGCCAATTGTTGTTTTTGTCAAACTGCAGTTCTGCCCACTATAGGCATTAAATACCAGCGGATTAATCTAGCTTTAAGAGATCACTGGACCTTTCAGGACCAAGAGTGTAAAACATGAACAGTTAACACATCACAGCAGACTGTAGCAATAGCATTATTCATGTCAAAGCTGAAAGTCAAAGAGAGGAGAGGCTGCTAATTAAACAGAATGAAATGAATGCTGATGCCTCTTTATGACACACAAGAGCAAAAGAGACCAACAAAGACAAGATGGATCTTTCTTTATAGATATTGTACATGTCTGTCACATCTATAAAGAGTGGGAATTTAAAATGTAGAATTTAAAAGCTTGATGCAGAAGCAGCCTGGGGCGGCTGAGGCTCAGTTGGTAGAGTCGGTCGTCTCTCAAACAGAAGACTGGGGGTTCGATCCCCAGCTCCTGCAGCAACATGCTAGATTTGTCCTGGGGCAAGACACTTAACACAAAGTGGCTCCCGCTGCCTTGTCTGCAACTTTTTTTCTTCATATAATACTACTTAAGTATATTCAAAACAAGATAAATGGACCAACTTGAGCTTGTATTTTGCTTTTCTAGTCTTCTGACTACTCAAAGTGCTTTTACACCACATGTCACACCTACACATTCACACACTGATGGTAGAGACTGCTTTGTAAAGAGTCCATCAGTATTAACTCATCCATTCATACACAATCATACGCCACCGACAAAGCAGTGGAAGCAATTCAGGGTTGGGTGTCTTGCCAAAGGATGCATCGGACATGTTGCTGTAGGAGCTGGGGATCAAACCCTCGACCTTCCAAATGAGAGACAACCGACCCTATCCACTGACCCACAGCCACTGCAAAGTGATAAATCATCCTGCTTTGTCTACAGGGGGCGCCAAAATCGACACAACACAAAAACCCTCACAGGAGCTTAAACTACAAACATATAAACCAAATAACACGATACCAGTATGATATGTGGCCTCAAGTCTCAAAGACAAAATGACGTTATCATTATTTAGGGTTAGGAAATCCCGGGTCACTATTGCACATCCAGGCTATTATTATCATAGAGAGAAAACTTCAAACTGCAATTGATTTCTGTCCTTGAAATGACATTTACATGTGTCATCAGTGCTGATTAAAATCATTTTGGAATAGAAATAGAACAAAACACTACAAAGTATAAATGTGATCATGCTTACTTCTCATCAAGTGGGATTATAGAGGACATTGTGTAGAGAATATTGTCAGTGTTATTAGTGCAGTATGACTAAATGGAGCTGAATAAATCAGATTAAAAGCCCGGCCCTTTGGCTCCCTGCTGAATATTCAGAGAGTGAAACCAAACAAAGACTCCTCAGCTGAAGGAGAATCCCTGCAGGACGAGGAGCGAGATACTTCCAACAAGGTGTTACAGTAGCTTAGCAAAACACTCATGTCTCCCTTTGCATAATCCTTAAAGCGAGAGGAAATTAATGAGCATAATATTGTTACATAATCTCTGTTGTGAAGGCCTTGGACGCTGCTCATATTCCTTCTTGTATATCATTAGTTTCACACAGAATAGAAACATCGTTATTCAGTAGGGGAGGTGTTCCTGCTGTTCGTAAAAAGTGTCATTACGTGTTGAAAAGAAAAATGATGGATGAAAGCTCAAGTTAAATAAAGTTTTTCATGATTTGTTTAATTGACTTAATTTCATATTTAATTATTTCTTTAAATGTTTCACCTCTTAGCCTCAAGATTAAAAGATCCTGTTTCACCATCAGGCATCCTACTGCTGGAATAAAGATGTTTTTTAAATGGTATAAACAGGGTGTTTTTTTATATTTCACAGTTGAAGTTGACGTGAAAAGAGGAATGGCACTTATAACTCTCACATGGTCGCAGTTTATCCTTGTCAACAGAAGCAGTTGGGTAAATCCTGCCCATTGTGCTGTCACAGGAGCAGGATGGGAGTCCTGTCATATTCAGATGTTAATATGCCAAACAACTGTTTTTCTTTAAAGGATGATGGTTATATTGTGAACAGCTTTAAACATCAAGCTGCACATTTTTAGGAATCCATTCCTCCAAAGTTAAAGGCTGATCTTTTCTCCTCTCTCTCTCTTGTTTTGTCTTTTAGATTGGAACTATAGTTCAGGGTTTGTGACCTATGACATGATCAAGGACCACCTCCCCGCTCCGTCCAGCGATGTCCTTGTTGTCCTGTGTGGTCCACCGCCGATGATCCAGTATGCCTGTCTGCCAAATCTGGACAAGCTGGGGCACAAAACAGAAAACATTTTTGCATACTAGAGTTCTGATGGTTTATGACCTGTACTATTTAGATCTGTAAACAATAAATGTGAACACTGTTGATAGTCTTACCTGTAAGCCTTTTCTTTTTCATCTCTGTGACAACACAAGTACAATAAAGAATTTTGCATCCTGTATAAAATTGGCAGACCAAAACATTTTTTTTTAAATGACAGGGACTAATTTTGATTTTAACATTGAGAAAGCTATATCATCATAATTCTATGTGATTACCTTTTATACAAGACAGAACTTTTCAAATGAATCTCACTTTTCAGCCAAATAAGTTCTTGTTAAGGCTGATCATATGGCATGATGTTTAATACACTTTCTATACTAAGGCCTAGTAGTCCTACTGGTCATCACTGGACTATAGGTCTTGAACTTCACTTGTAAAATTCAAACATTCCCTGACACTCAAGACGTAGGCCTTCAAAAAAAAAAAAAAAAACTGGAACAAACATTAGCAATCAATTTGGAACACATGCCTCTTGTTTTATTTTGTGGTTTGTTTGTTTTTGCTTCAATATGCTGCTGAACAACATGGCAACAAATACTGTGGGCCATTATTTATATTTTATATAGCTTATATACAGAAGAGGATTAGGGCCACTAAAAAGTAAAACAAAACAAAAAAGAATTCTGAGACTAAAGTCAGTATAAAAAAAAAATCAGAACCAACATTTTTTTTGTTCAGTGGCCCTAATCCTCTTCCGTAGTTATCCGACCTTCCTACCAGCAATCTATAGTAGCTAATAAACTCATTATTATCAGGAAGTCTACCATATACATGTCTTTAAAACACGTTAGTAGAGCCTGCATTTATCTCCATCATTAACTGCAGCATTTAATTACAGAGTCAAAAGATCCAGGACTGATGATGAGTAGCCTACAAAGTTCAGACCTCTTTGTTTGAGCGTCACACCACAACGAACTGCAAATCTGGCAGCTAACATTCCCCACATTTCATGAAGGCATCACAGGATAATGGGCGTGTTTTTTTTTCACCAACATGTCGGCATAGGAGTTTCTGTCAAACTTTACAGTGATTATTAAAACATTCAGACGTGTAGAGGTTAGCAGTGTGATGAATATGGTGTCTGAGCGCAGCCTGCATCTGTGTGTACCCTTAGTGAGTGGATCGTTTTGTAAATTAATTGTATTCGTGGTATTTATCAGCACGAACTTCCCGGTTTCTGTCTGTGAAGGAATCAACTCAGGGAGATGTATGATCTGGGGTCCAGGGCTGAACCCCGACACAGTGTTACCAGTCCGACACTTCTTTGTTCAGGCGGTGGATTCAAAGGGAGACAACCTGACACTGTCTCCAGGTGAGCTGAACACAAGCTCACTTTGTCATTTCAGTGTCATTAGGGGCAATATGTGGCATCAAGGAAACGACAGAGCGGCTGTTAGCAAGCTAAGGGTGCATCATGTTAACACATTTGACTTTGTAGTCTTTATTATGTGACGCTATGTTCTAAAAGAGTAAGTCACTATCTTCTTGAGTGTTTTGTTCGTGTCGACGACTTGTGACTATAAAACACATTCAGTTTAATAACCACAGGGTAGCCTAATTCATGTCTCACTTCCTGCAACAAAAGGTCTCTGGTCAACTACCGTAAAGCTGGTGCATGTATTAGGACTTATTTTATTACATTTGCATATTATATATATAATTTCTTATTTATATATTTAGTTATTTATTTATTATATTTAATATATATATATATATATTTATATATATATATATTTCTTTTTTTTCTTATTTATTTATTATATTTCTTATATATATATATTTTTTTTTTTCTTATTTATTTATTATATTTAATATATATATATATTTTTTTCTAATTTATTTCTTATATTTCTTATATATATATATATATATATATATATATATATATTCTTATTTATGTATTTATTTCTTATATATATATATATATATATATATATATATATATATATTTTTTTTTTTTCTTATTTATTCATTTATTTTCTTATTTATTTCTTATATATTTTTTTTTTCTTATTAATTAATTAATTAATTTTGTTATTTATTTCTTATATATATATATATATATGTGTTTTCTTATTTTTACAGTCTATGATTAGGACCCGGCGCATGCAAGATTAAATCAATTTATACAAGGCACTGAAATGTTCTTTACATGGCTGTTTAGGTAAAGATACATTCAAGGTGAAGATAAGTCCACTGGACAAGAAGGAGCACATCCGGATCCACGTCCCTCCACCTCTGGACAGAGGAGACGGCTCCTTCCTGCTCAGGTACCGGCTCTATGGCACTGTGCTCAAAGGCCTTCAGATTGAAGTCCTACACCAAGATGCTGCTGTCGCCAAGTCACCTTATACCCTCCAAGGTTTGTGTCCAGACATGCATTTGTAAACACCAGACATTGGTTCCTATTGACCTGTGATACTTATTTGGAAAGATTTCCCTGTTAATGCCCTTTAGCAGGTTTATAACAGCAAGACAGGAGGGTGGGGACTTCCCAACATGCACACATACAATAAAGAGCCCTGTCATTAAAAGGCCTGGTCCACAGAGCTCACACACAGATACACAACTAGTCCCACTCAAATTCACACCTACTGACAATTTAGAGTCACCACTTAACCTAACGAGCACGTCTTTGGACTGTGGAAGGAAGACGGAGCACCCGGAGAGAACCCACACATGCACAGGGAGAACATGCTAACTCGACTAAGAAAGGCAATGTCCAGTAGGGAATCAGAACAGGAGCCTTCTTCTTCTGTGGTGACAGCGCGTACAAGTGGACAACTGTGCATACATATTCATAAACAGTATATCAAAAATAACTTAAGAATCATTGTTTATTGCCAAGTACATTTACACATGAACAGGAAATAACGCAGAACTAGCAACAACTGCAATAATACAGTATAAGAAGATATTACAATATAGAAAATAGAATTTATAAATGTAAAATATAAAAAATTAAAATAAAAAACATAAAATGTACAAAAAGTGCAATGTAGGAGCTGTGTAGTGGACTATGAAAAACAAATCTTAGTGTATGTAACTACTCACAGAGTGCATGGAAGGAAAATACATTTTTAAAGTCCAGTGGGCGTTAATGTAACACATAAAGAACAGTTTCAGCATTCACATTACTTTGATGTTTATCAAAATTAACTTGATTGCTTCAGACCAGTGTTATGGACCAGTGAGGAAGCAGTAACATTTGATACAGGATCTATGCAAGAAATGTAATCTTGCTTTGACTGTCGTCTGCCTCCCTCCTTTAACCCTGAGTATTATCTGTACCGCTCAGGTCCGATCTATCATGAGTACTGTGACTGTCCAAAGTCTGATGCCCCTGTATGGCAGAGCATCATGCAGTGTCCTGCTGAGGAGCCTCAGATCCTAGCAGACTTCAAGTCGTTTCCAACGATCGACCTGCAGCGTCTCAGACAGGAAGTCCCTCAGAGATTCAGCAACAGAGGAGGTCTCATCCACTACGCCATCATCAACAACCAGCTGCACCGCCGCACTCTGGGAAAATACACCGACTTCAAGATGTTCTCTGATGAAATGCTGCTCTCTCTAATGAGAAAGGTGAGGTCTTTTTTTATTCATTATCTTGTTACAACTGCAAACAGACTGCAAAGGCGTCATGTGATGTCAGTCTGTTTTGATGCTTACTTTACTTTATTTCCCACTTCTGACACACTTGTTACCTTGTGCAATAATAATGTTATATTAATGTTATCGTAACAAATTACAAAACCACTTTGTGCAATAACATGTTACACTTTATGTCTGTCTGTGTTACACTGAATATTCTGACTCCATTTTTGTCAAAACTGCAGCTCTCAACTGATCTTTTTTTTAAATCTATTTTTAAAATTCTATATTGTGATATCTATTTTTTTTGTACATTCTTAATTTTTCTTTTTTTCTTTAAATTGTACTGTGTTCACTTTTTGTTTGCAATCTTTGCTCTTTGCTGCTGTAACAATGTACATTTCCCCGTTGTGGGATGAATAAAGGATTATCTTATCTTATTTGAAGGTGAGGTTGCCGGATGTGGAGTTTTACATCAATGTCGGTGACTGGCCATTAGAGACGAAGAGGACGGATGCTGTTCCCATCCTGTCGTGGTGCGGCTCTACAGAAACACGCGACGTTGTCCTCCCGACCTACGAGGTGACACACTCCACGCTGGAGTCCATGAGAGGTGTCACCATTGACCTGCTGTCTGTCCAGGGGAACACAGGTAACACTCAGAGGCACACGCACACACACACACGCACACACACACACGCACTAGTGACACTGAAGCTGTGTTTCATTTACTAAAGAGTAGGGACATTGTGTTATATGTAAATCAAAACAGAATGCTGTGATTTGCATAACATTGAACCCCTATACATATTAAACATATGGGTTCAATGTTTTGCAATCTTTAGACTCTGTTCTAATTTACATTTCACACAACATCCAAACCTTTCAGGAAATAGGTCTGTAATGGAGGAAGTCAGCCGTCATCTTCACATCATAGTCACTGGGACTGACAAATTCCAAAACTGAAAAAAATAACTGTTTTTTAATCTCTAGTCTGAGATGAAAAAGAAGATACAGTATAAGATATATTGATGGCTTCCTAAATCGTGAAGAATATTACGTCAATAATAAATCAGTCAAACCTGAGGAAGCTAGAGGCCAAACACGTTGTTTGCTCACAATAACAAAGTCATTTTTAATGAGCCACAGATAATTGATTTCTTTTTCATTGTATGTTCCTGAGACTGAGCGGCACCTGGACTTAGGTTGGCTGTGCACAGGGTTTCCCTGTTGGTCATGAAGAATATTATTTGTTGTCAAAATAGGGCTGCAGCACTTTTTCAGTGATTATTTTAAGGCTTTTAATAACATGGACTGCAACTTTTAAAGAACAGACTGACAAGTGATGGATTTAGCTTTTTACGTTATTACAACAACAACAACAACAACAACAACAACAACAACAACAACAAAAAACAAAAAAAAAATGAGGCCACCTTGAGACTAATTCAAAAAAGTTTGACAGAATCAGGGAGAGTTGCTTAAAATATCAACACTTGGGTTCAAACTAAAATGATACAAATGGCCGTTAATGTTTACATTTCAATGAACACCTGTGATCCTGATGTTTGTATGAGAATGGTCTGTAGTTGTTTTCTTATTTAAGGGCGGGCACTGTGGCAGGTAACCTGAGAGTGAGGGGGATTTAAGCTCTTCCAGGGCCATAACATAAACCTATGTACCATTAAAGGTTCACATGTATATACGACTGTAATATTTCTCCTTATCTTTTGTAAAGTGGCAATTCATTCCTGAGATCCTCAATTAGTTCAGTGACAGGATTCAGTTGTTTTCTGAGTTTTTAAATATAGCTGCAAAACTGAATAAAATATTCAAATGTATAAAAACATTTGTAAACAAACGTGTTTGAATGCTAATGTTTTTTTGGGGGGGGTGGTTGACATTTTCATCACTTTAACCTTCAGGTCCTCCATGGATAAACAAAACAGATCAAGCCTTTTTCCGTGGTCGGGACAGTCGAGAGGAGCGTCTTCACCTGGCCTCTCTGTCCAAGAAGAACCCTGAGCTGCTGGACGCCGGCATCACTGGATGGTTCTTCTTCAGGGACAGGGAGAAGCATGTAGGCAAAGCCCCGCTTGTTGGATTCTTTGACTTCTTCAAGGTGAGTGAACAAGATAAATACATGAACATTTCATCATAATTCAGGTTATGTGTGTAACTGTGATGTGAATCCTTAATTACAGTCACATGTAGCCTTAGCTTAAGAAAACTAATGAAACACAAAATGATGAAGACCTAGTTAATGATACATTTCTCCCTCCTCTAGTACAAGTATCAGGTGAATGTGGACGGAACAGTGGCAGCGTACCGCTTCCCTTACCTGATGCTGGGTAACAGTGTGGTTCTGAAGCAGGATTCTCAGTATTATGAATATTTCTACACACACCTAAAAGCAGGAAGTCACTACGTTCCTGTGAAGAGAAACTTGTCAGACCTTTTGGAAAAAATCCAGTGGGCCAAAGAGAACGATGCTGAAGCACAAAAGATCGCCCGAGCCGGTCAGGCGGCAGCGAGAGAGCTGCTGCAGCCGGGCAGACTGTACTGTTACTACTACAGAGTGCTGCACATGTACTCGGAGCGGCAGGCGGGACAGCCTACACGCCATGTGGACATGGAGCTGGTGCCTCAGCCAGACGACCCCACTGCTGTGTGCACGTGTGAGCGTCAGAGCCACAAAGAAGAAACCAACAAGAAGGAGGAACTATGATGGAATCTGCCTTCATTCTTTAGTCATTGTTTTTTTTTTTCTGTGAAACTTTCCTGTCCATCAACAGTGTTGTCAACAAACGTGTTGATGTCCCTTTTTGTCTTTTATACTGTGTGTTTTTGTACTTGAGTAAAGCTCTAGTTAGTAATGCAAGAAACAAAATGTGTTTTTACTGTAATGTTAATGTGCCTTCATATTGGATGCCTGGATATGTGTAAGTGGTTTTATAGTAAAATAAATAGATCTTATCTTTAGCACTTCATAAGGCTTTACTTAAGATGGAATTTGAATGCATCGAGAAGGGATTTGTTTTTTTGTTAGTTACCTGATGAGCACAGCTCTGCTTCTTTGTCGTCTACTGTTAACGCCTTTTGCTTTGATTATGGAGAGGTCATTGTGCTCATAGGGTCAAACTGAGTCTTACCCCCTAATAGTAAAATACTCTGAATCGTCTGTTGTGCGTTAAGTCTGTTAAATCTGTTTTCAAACACTGCAAAAACTCAAATCTAAGCAAGCGTGTTTGTCTAGTTTTTAATTAATATTCTAAGCCACATTCCTCCAACAAGTCCAGATAAACGTCTTCTTTCAAGGATATGAAACTCAAGTAATAAAGCCTGCATACCAATGAGTCAAAATATCTGCCAAGGGTGCTAGTAAATTCTACCTGAGTGTCTTGAAAATCAGTTGTTCTATCTAAGTTATAGTTAGAACATCTTACTTAGTTTTTCAAACCTGTATTACAGAAGATAGTGACTTAACATACATACACATACGTCGTCATCAAACAAAAACCATTGTCATTACCATCATCATCATCAATAATATGGAGACCATCATCATTAAGTTAGTAGGTATTCATGAAAGAGCTGGGTCTTTAGCTTTTTCTTAAAAGTGCAGAGGGACTCTGCAGATCGAATGGAGTTTGGAAGTTCATTCCACCACCGGGGGGCGACAGAGGAGAAGAGTCTAGTCAGAGACTTAGGACCCTGTTGTGCAGGTTGGATCAGACACCTTTCATTGGCAGAGCGTAGTGGGCGGGAGGGAGTGTAGACCTGGAAGTTTAATTTGAAAACAAAACATAGGTTTGAGATACACTGCCCTGATCACTCACTGCCTTCACTGTCGTACAATAACAATATGTTTTATTAGTATTTTCTTCTCATTATGAGTCTTAGTATCTTGTATTAATCTGTTGCTGTACTCTTAAGCATGATTCTCTGGTCTCTGCAGGTCCACCTGTAACTGTTTCTGTTGTGTGTTTGGATGTGTTTTGCGGGTACATAAGTGACAGTACACACAGATGGTACACACACAGACAGACAGACACAGACAGGCGCATAAACCAGAAACAACAGGCATGATCTTTGAAATCTATTTTTTGTACAGAGGCTCAAAACATTTTGTCTATTCTGTTCTCCAAGGATGTGATAGAGGTGGGGAAAAACACATTTATGTAAAAATGGAGATTCTTATCTTCTGAGATTTTAAATAGATTCATAACTTACAAAATGGATCTTTTTTTTCGCTCATCATCAGTCACTTCCTGTTAAGTGCTAAAGCTAGCTCTTTAACTCATTACAATGAAGCAGCAAGAAGTTCAGCCAGTCTCACAGATGACTGGAGTTTATCCTGAAGTATGGACTAATTCACAAATAGACTTTGAATCAGAAATAGATTCTGAGACGAATCGTGCGACGGCCAAAGATTCCCAGCCCTGCTGTAGGTACGACTGTTAACATTAACCAATGACGTCAACAGATAGTTTAGTTGGCATTTCTCATTTCAAATTCTTAGAGACCCAGCAGTAAATCAATGCATAGTATATAATATATATAATGATGATCACAGCAATGAAACCCGACATACACTATTTTGATGCATGTTAGTATTTAATTTAAAAGTATTGTGTGACATATAGAGCAATTTATAATATTTTAAACATCTGTGTTAATTAACAAACATTTTCTGCAGATATACAAAATCATGTTACAATTAAGTTTTATAACTATTCTATATAATACAGTATGTTATATCCCTGCTGGCTGCATAATGATACAATGTTAGCATTCAAAGACTTTTTTAATATGCAAGAGAACATATAAGATCTTTAGTTACCCTCGTCACCTTAAGTGTGTAATACCTTATGCATGGTAGAGTCTCTGATAAAAGAAAAAGACACGTCTGTCACCTTCATCAAGTGGTCTGTGAGCAGCTACACATAGAACCAAACACGCTAGAAAGTCACTGTAGAAACTGTTCATTCTTCCTTCAATTAAACAGTAATTATTTAGAATCAAGGAGAGATAATTGTTAATTAGAATCAAGAAAGTTCTCTTCAGTTTAAACTAGTCATTTCTAAACCTTAACTGTAACATAGGTTGTGCTAAACCCTGTAGTTTATGGTAAAATAGAAAACAACACAAAAACTGGTTTCTAACATGTGTTCTGTTGCTAGTGTGTACATTTATGTTCATTGTTGTGTGCCTTGCAGATTTAAAGAACATGATCATTTGTTTATGGAGAAGACTGACCAAGACTCCCACTGTTTGTATGTGATGTGTCAGAGAGGAACCTGGTCTGATTGAACTTCAATTTCCAGCTGAGTTTGGAGCTTTCTTTAGTGTCAGGATGGATGACAACTCATATAGGCTTTGATTTTCAGGTTCTTCACAGACACACATGTAACACTCTAACATTCACTCATGTTAGCTTACAGCACACATGAAGTCCTCTACGTCTTACAGCACAGACTTTTTATTGTTTGACTTTTCAGAGCAGGAAAGGTGTGACTACGAACAATAATGATGACACTGTTACCTTAAGTTGTAGCTTCAAATCATAAAAGAAACACACCAATTGCAATGACGTGATCCTAGGAGTAAACACATCAATGGAATCAAGCTATCATCTATATCATTATTTACACATTCTTCACTTATTTACATTCATTTAGCTGCTTCAGCCTAAGGGTCGTTTTGCACGGTCTCATTTCCATGCTGTCATGACCTACAGGGACACTTGAATAGAGCAGCACATTGTAATGGGGGGGGGGGGGGGTGAGATTGGTCAGATGTCCAATAAAGGCAAAAATGCAAAAAAAAAAAAAAAAACACACCCCAGCACATTCCGTTCAGTGGCGAACCTTGGCCAAACATTTTTTCTTGAGGTTGGAAATGAAAGGATAAAGTTAGTGATAGTTCGGCCTACATTCAACTTTGGGAATACATTTCCTTTGTTGTACAATTATAACAATTATGTGTACTGAATATTACAGTGAAAAAAGCCATAGCATCAAATACACACTCAATTTATTTCAGAAACACCAAAAAAAGAAGGTAAAAACATGTCACATGTCTTTGAAAAGGAGTTGAGCGTGTTTTTGTCTATCATTAAAACTTCCCAGTTACCCTTACTCTGTTGTTGAGAAGTGGGTGAACTTAAATGGTAAAGTAACTCCTAAAGCTCTTGAAGAGACACATAAGTGCAGTATGTTTAGTCTTGTTTAGTTTGCTAGTTTGTAAGAAAACAGGACTTTAAGTAAACATGAGAAAAGTGAACTGACTCACTAAATGTAACATCATCAACAGGTTGAAAAGAACCTGAGTGTTCTCTAAAGATCTTCTGTGTTGTTAAAGTTAGTATCTTTCTATCACATTGAACATGTTATTAGCCATCAGTTATTTTGAGTCCCTTTGGTTCAGCTGAATTTAATCATGAGCGTGAGAGGGTCTCCCTTTTTCTTGGTGACGATAGCCTGCATCATTCCTGTGGGTGTGTGGAGGTACCTCGAGCCTTTGAAGAAGTTCTCGATTAAAACTCTGTCAATCTTGTTGCACTTCCCGATGGCCGCCTCAAAGTTGTTGCTGAGAACTCCGTAAATATTTCCGGGGTCATTTTTCTTCCCCATGAACAAGAAGAGGGCGTAGCAGTCCTTTCCAATGGAGGTGCAGAAGTCCACCAACCTCTCACACATGGTTTTGTTGCTGGACTCTTTCTGCGCAATCAGGACCGTCTCACTGACATCTGCGGAGTTGTCCTTGCAGTCCTCCCTGTCGGGCAGGTGTATGACCTGCACAGCAATCTGAATCTGAGGGTTCTTGGTGGGCTTCTCCAGCAGGGCCCAGACCCAGTCGGCCCCCAGGAGAATGCGCTGCTCAGGGGTCATGGCTGTGCAGTTGAAGGTGTCTGTCAAGTTAAGGCAGACACTCTGAGAGATGTAGGTCATCAGGAAGACCTATGGGAGAAAAGGTAAAAAAACCATAACGTTTTAGACGGGTGCTGTCTTCATGTTTTCTTGAGAACAACCCAATCTCCCAAAAAAGTTCTGATGTTGTGTAAAGTGTAAAAAACAATCATGGGATTTCACAGTCTACAGTATGTTATATTATTGAAATCTAAATACATCTATGTATGAGGTGGACAAGGCCAAAAACCTATCTTCCATAGCCATGGTCTTAGGGTCCTCACACAGTTTTGCATTTAAACAGATGAGATTAGATTTGATCTGGATTCTCTTGGCAAAAGAGGAGAGGGTCCACCCTGCAAAACCCCACTCTGAATGTATAAATGGTGAATGGCATCCAACTTGTATAGCACTTTTCTAGTCTTCTGACGACTCAAAGCACTTAGTACACTTTGCACTTTTACACCGCAGGTCACACCTACACATTCACACACTGATGGTAGAGGCTTCTATCAGAACCATCAGACCATCAGCAGTAACTAATCCCATTTATACACATTCATACGCCGCTGACAAAGCAGAGGGAGCTGGCCCCATCACATTGGTCTCCTCAGTTCCCAATAAGCTTACAAAGTGTTGTTAAAATAAAGAGTGGTAATCCATGAACCTGTCCCAACTTGTTTGAAACACACTGCTGGGATCAAATTCAAAATGGACATATCATTTTCCATGACACTTCTCATTTTCAACCTTTTGATGTGCTGTGTTGGTGCTATTTTTAAAAAATTAAGGAGGCTTAAGGAAATTTTTTGAAAATCATCACATTTTGTCCAAATTTACATTTAACACAACATCTGAACTTTTCAGGATTTGGATTGCACAAAGTGACCTACCTGAGTGAGCACCTCGGGGATCAGTCGGAACTTGTCCTCTGGGTCTTTGAAGAGGAGGCACTCTTGAGTTCTGGATGAGGCGGCAGAGATGCAATCGTTGAACAGTGGAATGAAATCACTGGGTTTGGGGACAGGGGCCCTTCTTAACGTGGAGAAGATACTCGGTCGAGGTGATAAGTTTTGAGCATGTGACGTTTGTCTTTGAGAGCTACGCTTAAAGGACGGGAAGCGGTTAGGAGTGTGTTTGCGGATGGTCTGGCCCATGGTGGACTGATGTTGGGGGGCGGAGGTCAGAGATTGGTCTCTCTTATACACTGGAAAGATACATTTCTATCGTTACATTACAGAACAATACTTGAAATCAACATACAGTGTTAGAGAAGAGCAGCTTAATACCACAACATAGAAACACTGCTACTGTCCAGTCTTTCTTTTATCAATGACTAAAGGAGGATTTGTTCATGAGGCACATTTCAAACCCCACAATTGTGTCTTCTTCTCAAAAACAAGCTTTACAAATATGTCAAGATACTCACCAGGATGTGTCTGGAGGTTTCTGTAGTGAGTCCACTATTCACCCTCTGCTCCTGTCTCCTGTCCTGCTGAGATACAAAGTGTGTGCATGTGTGTGTGTGTGTGTGTGTGTGCTGCTCTATATGAAGCTCAGTCTCCTGATATGTACAGAACTTTCAGTAGAATAAAGAGAATTTCCTGTCCCAGGTTTGGTGGGGGAGTTTCTGCCGACACGCATAGCATGGGTGTGGTGTTTGGAACTTGTCAAATTTAAGGAAAGTCAACAAAAGACTCATCTTACAAGTTTACTGGCAGCAGCAGCAGCAGCAGGAACAGTAGCTTGAGGACCGGGGTAAGCCTGAAGGGTTTGATGGGTAAACAAAATGCTTAACTGTCTTCCTTTTATTATGAAGCGCAAATGAGGACATGTGAGTCAGGGTCAGGAGCTTTGAGTTTGGCACACTGTTGAGAAGTCACATTAGGTGAAATGAGTAGTTTTAAATGTCACTGTTGTTTTTAGTGTAGGGTTGGAGAAGGGGATGGTTTTAAGGAGATACATAAGGCATTGATTGTTTTCTAAAAGCAGTCATACTGTATCTATTGGTATGTGAGTGTCCTTCCTGATCCTCAAGCTGTTTACAACTCAGGGGGCCTAGTCTTTATTTAAACTTCTTTTTTATTATGTCAACCAAAAGTTAGCTTCTGAGGTCATTTGTTTGGTAATTTCTATATTTTGTCAGATTAAGTTAGAGTTTTACACCTTTGCCAACACAGCACTGTATTTAAGTACAATAAGGGAAAAAAAACAATGAACCATAATAACTTAAGCTGATACCTGACACTTTTTCTTGTCATGTTTATAGAAATTAGATCTGACCAACACAACTCCTTTTGAAGCTGCTTAGAATAAAACCTGTCGTCAGTTAGTGTTAATTATTCCAAATGAATAAGTCACACAGCTTGTTCAGTATATTTTCAAAACAAATTCTTAAAGCAGCATTAGCTGATGTTTATGACAACTTGGGTGCAGTGAAACAACTAAAAATAATCATGTTGACATATTGTCACCATTTGTAAAACGTAAATGTAGGTCACACCTACAACCTACCTGTTCACACACTGATGGCAGAAGTTTCTATGTAAAGATACCATCAGAAGTAACTAATCCCATACATACACATTCACACACTGCTGAAGCAGCTGGAGCACATTGGGGTTAATTGTCTTGTCCAAGGACACATCGGACATGTACTGTAGCTGCAGGAGCTGGGGATCGAACCCCTGACCTTTTGGTTGAGAGTCTACAAACAAACTGAGCCACAGCTGCCCCTTGGTAGATTCAGTCTGAGTGTGTGTGTGAATGGAATAGTACTGTTAGCGTCACACACCTTCAGTGTGTGAATGTGGAGTGAATGGGTAAAAGAGACATGTTTTGTAAAAGTGTTTTGAGGGGTCAGACGACTAGAAAGTCCAAGTCCATCTACTGTTTACCATTTAAAGCGAATACCATATGATTATTGTTGGCTCACAGTCAACTTTAAATGTGCCCAGGACAAGCCGACATGGACTAACATCAGCGTTCAGTGGAGTTCCATTTGGCTGCTGTACGCTCAAGGTTTGAGTGCTTCTAATACAACTTTTCACAAAACCACACACAACAACAAACTGCTGCTGCTGCCGGAACATGGATGTTGTGAGAGGTGAAAGCAACCCAAAATCAGTAAAGTTGCAGGAATAAAAAAACAAAACAATAAGCTAATAGATGCTTAAAAGCAGAGTAGGATGATTTGGTTACTACAGACTCCTACTCCCACAGTTCCACAGAATGTAACTTAATTCAACTCCCTTTTTTAATATGTCAAATATTGAAACCATTGATATAGAATTATAGGATACATTTCCCTGTTTAAAAAAACCACTTTGCTTTCAGTAAACTTTGTGAAGGACACTGATGGCATTTTACCACCACCATCACTGTACCAGAGGAAGTCCATTCAATCCCTGATATTTCAAGGGCTTTTATTGTATGGTAGTGCTTTATTGGAGACTTGGACTGGAAAAAACTTTCCCCACTGATGTAATACAATTTCTTTCAAGGCAACAGTGGTCAGGGCTGAGTATTTGTCCTACTCAGCCCTTTGATATCATGCCGCCTCTGAGACCCTTCATGTGACAAAATAACCACTTTGTTGTAGCATTTCTTGTGTGTCTTAATGTAAAATGGTGAGGCTGATATACTTGGCTCAACACAATTCTCAGAGTGTAAAAGTGTGTTTTCACCTGGCTCTGTTTGGGCTAACATCATGTGTTATTCCATCACAGACTCCATGAAACAAATTACACGCTGTTCATGATTACCATTTGACAACAGATGGCTAAGGTGTGCCTGTTCTCCTCTTTGATAAACCAGCACAGAGTATAGAGAACACATTGGTCATCTTTAGGATACATTGCATAGGGAAACAAGTAAAGCAGTAAAAAAAAGCCACACAGAGCTTTAGGTACAGTTTAGTTCATTATTGTAGAAAAGGTTTTCAAGGGACCCTTGATGATTGTTTTCCACATTGTGCATGTCCCCATGTGTCTCTTGGTCCACTGTATCTGCAGTGTGACTTCAGAGGGTCTGAAGTTCTTAGATGAGGTATCAGAGCCTTATAGAAGTGGGCGTGGCCGCCTCACTGCAGTGTTAGGCCTGGGGTCGAGGTACGGTACAGGTGTCAGACTTATGGACAGCATTAGTAAGCAAGAAGCGCCGGATCATTGTCCTTTAAATAAGCGTTGTCTGAGACCGTCTCATCTCCTTCCGCAGCTCGTCTCGGCTGAGCAGGTACTGGAAGCAAAGCATCATGGGATTGGTTATGGGTTAGAGCGGTTGGGACTTGGTGTTTGCCACTGAGCTGGGATCAGTTTGGGTGTTTCCAACCTTTTCTACCTTTAGATAGATTTAAAGGCTTTAAATGTGATTTTATAATCCAGCAGATGTCGCTCTTGAGCACCAGCATGAAACCAAAACAACTTGCGCTGCATTGTTGTGTTAGCATGCTAATGCTAGTGATCTTTATTATGCTCGTATCTTCACACTGCATGTAAATTTTTCTGAAATGAGCGTGATCTAGAAACACAGTTAAGCAGTGAGTACAGTATGTTATTCTTCTTTTCTCTAGTCCCTCAATTAAACAACTTTTATACATGAGGGGAGGAGTCAGCCGGCCGTCCGGGCGATGTAAACAAACTGAAGATAGGACTCTGAAAACTCTGAAAACATCACAGACAGTGGGACTCGGGTGTTACACCCATTGTAGACAGTCATGACTCACAGAGTTATTTTCAGAGGATATACTTCATTTATATTATATTTAAGTGTGAAAAATCACATAGAAAGCTTTTAAACTGATACAATCTCAGTTATTTGAATTATTTGATCAGTAGAATCTAAAACACTGTCTAAATTGCTCAAATACATTGGGAATGTTTTTGTACCAAATGTATTTCCAATGTATTTGAGCAATTTAGACAGTGTGCAGGTTATGCTTACATTTTTTTGGTAATAAAATGAAAAAACAAATCCCAATATTGTGTGGCTAGGACTTCCAATTTTGTTGCTGTGGTATTGAAACAGGTGCTGACATTGTGTGTTTAACTATTATCGTATCAAAGTTTTTAACTCTGGTATTGAGACATAGTAAATATATAAAAATATAGCAATTAGACCGCCACAGACTCTTTTTATGTCATGTTGCTGCATGGATAAAATAAAGATAAAACAACTTTGATTTTGGAGTTCACCTTAGGCATATGACAAAGTTTATGAAACACTGTCCTTTAGGAGAAAACAACTAGAGAAGCTATTCAATATGTCTGTTAGTTGTTTTGAATGGAAGAGAAAGTTAACTTATCCCAGGTCAGAGCAGAACCAGATTCACTGCAAAGTTAAATAAGTGGAAGCCTTTTCCACAGACGATAGTTGAAGTAGCTATCAGAAGCTGAAAGTATTTGACAGAAACAAATGTTTTTTTTCTACCTCTTTATAATTTGATCCCATAATATTTTAGAGGAAATTATTTGCCAACTTTTGTTACTGGATATCATTTTTATCTTATTGATCAACTATTATAAATACTTTACTGTTCCAACATTATTTTATGTTTTTCCATTATTCTGCTTTGTAATCAGCATTTTGATTAGGTTTTACATTTTCATTACAAAAATATTCATTGTGTTTACATTTCCTGTTTCTTGACATTTTGATATATGTGGTTTGCTCAACATATTAAGTATGAAATTCCAATACTTCCACTTGTTTTTTTTTACTTTCTCCCCCCACCTCCCTCCCTTCCTCTTCTCTCTAACTCTATGTAGAAGCAAAAATAAAAGATAGCCTAATCTATTTTAAAGGGATGCTTATATATTGTTTTTTTTTAATAGAATGTGTGTTGTAACATTGATAACAAAGTAATTGCTCGTATCAACTGAATTCATGTTACTAGAAAGTTTTAAAACTATTTTTTTTGTTATATTTGCGTGAAAGACTTTGTATTTTCTATAGTTAAAGGTACAATTCAATTTATTACTTTGGCTTTGATAAAAGGATAAAAGGTACTCTGATACGTTTATGATAAATATTTAGCTGAACCTTTTCAATTAGCCTAGCACTCTTCTTGTCTGTCCAAAGGTAAAAGAAATCTGCTAGCCTTTGCTGTCAACAATCCTAATCAATCCTAATCTCAGTCAATAAGACCCAACAAGGTAACTGACCAATCCTGAGACGTTTTGTCCAGTTCATAACAATTTGTATTGTTTTTCTGTGTATAAAATCAAACTGGACAATAACATGGTAAACAAGGCATATTTCCTGTTTCAATGCTAAGCTAATAGCCAAGCTATGCTCTGCTGGTTCCAGTTACATGTTAACCTTATAGCCGCAGTATTGATGTCATTCAACCCGTAACAATATACAGTAAGTCGATCAATATATGTATTTAATTATTGTGTCAGTAGGATCAGTACGTACAAAACAGGACTCTAACAACTAATCCTCCACAAAACTCAGGATTTAGATTTAGATTTTATTGTACCTGCTTAGTAATCTGAATGTTATAGACATTAAAATGAAGTATTACTGGTCTATTTTTCCTTTTTGTGTGACTTTAATGGTGCACGATAGGAAACGTTGTACCTGTTGCTGTAATAATGGATTAGTGAATTCACAACAGTCAACGTTAGGTCTTCAAAATTTGGTTTTAGAACTTGAAAAATAACTCAAAATTTAAGAGCTGAATACTGCAGTTTAAAGAAATTTCCTGCACAGTAAACATGAGTTTTATTTTAATATAGATATCTCCGCTCAACTGGTTTAATGGAGATGTTGCTTGAGGTGGTTTTACGTCTGTTATCAGAAGCCTCAGGGTTTAATTACATGATTGACTTCAGCAAACAGAAGTTATAGAACCTCGACTGCATCTGCCTGATGACAGAAAGTCATGTAGCTGCAGAGAGCAGGCTCTCTATAGAAGTCATGCTGTCACTTTATTTAAGACCCGTGGGGTTTAACTGTCGTTTCTCCCTCAGATAATATCTGCAGCTTTCCATCTGACTGACCCAAACTTCTTTTACAAGCAAGAAGGAGCAGTTACTTGCTGAGCAAATCAGCTACACACATCATTAGCAGCAGCTTGTGTGTTGGTGCTTACTGTAAGGTTGTTGATGCTTTCAGACAGAGCTTCTATTTGCAACATGGTACCCTCTGTGATCGCCATCTGCAACACACACGACACACACAGTCTAATGAACCCATTAAAAGATCGATTACAGACATGCGTTTAGTGGAACCATGAGTTTTAAAGCTGTGCTGTATAGCAATTAGTACAATTTGCAATCTTGAAAGTATGCAGAGGAGAACTTTCTACTGGCATGAAGTCACCCTCCATGAGGAAACTTAATGCGGGTTTCCATGGTAATGGTCGGCAGCCATCTTGGTCTGCTGGAAGGTGAAGCTGGTGTCATAAAGAGCCATGACAGCGGCGTCCAAGATGGTGAGGATGATGATGATGAAAGATGAAAGCAGGTTAGTGGTTGATGAGGATTACTCAGGCATGCTCTCCACTGTGGCTCCACACAGCAAAGTTTATTTCTTTATATTTTCCATATCTTTTGTTCAAAAGTGAAAAGAAAGATTGTAACCACATGTTCTTTACCTTTGGGATTTGGAAGAGAGTTTATTTAAAAATATACACGACGCTCCATGAGTAAAAGACATGGCTCCTATTCGCTGTTTTTAAAAAATATATCAAAATAAATGTATGAAAACATAAAGTTATGTTAAAGCTTTACATGTCGACTTCTGCTTTGGCATTTCTGCCTTTAGAGTATAAAGAAGAAATCCATTTAACACACATATGATTTTGTTTATTAAATGTTTTGATAAATCTTTTTTTTACATTATCAAGAGCACAAAGCTTCCTGAAGAGCAGGGTTTTCTTAACTATAAAAATACTATTACAGCAATACTGTAAATATGAAAATAACAGTACAAAATCATCACCTCATGTTCAAACTTGACATGCTATATCATCTTTTCTTCTGCAATAACATAAATATTAAATAAAAACCCTCCTTAATAAGATGTAGATATTGCACAAGTTCATCTCAACCATGAGACAGAACTCTTAAAATGGAAAATCAAAGACTGACACGCATATAAAATCCTCTAATGATTTTGCACAAATGTTAGAACAAATATTTAATACTGTACAAACAGGTATCCATATTTGACTGTATGGATCACAGGAAGTGATGTCACAGGAAGTGGAGTCCAGAGAGAGGCTGTGTTCTCTCATGATAACTTAGATCATGGCACAGGTTTGAGGTCGGGTCAGTTAAACATCTGACAGGAAATCACAATTTAAATACTTCAAGTGTTTAGATTCACGTTCTCAGTACACCCTTCATGACCAGCAGCTATGACTGACAGAAGGGTTATGGAGGCGTCTCTGAATCTTTTCACTCATAAGGCACGGGGTGGGGCTGATGGGCGGGGTTTAGAGGAGCAGGGAGAGGATGAGGCATTATGGGTCACAAGCAAAGGAAGCAGAGTAGTAGCAGAGCCCATTGGCTTATGGGAAGCGTGGCAACACAGTATTGCCATAATGTTCTTGAAGCTGTTGTCATGGAGATGGATCAGCTCTGCTGTCATCGTGCCCCACCTGGTCTCTGGGGCGGTCGGGCTCTCGGTCCAGAATGGGACTCAGGCCTCTAAAGCCAGCGTACGGCCGAACCTGTACACCGTTAGCCGCAGACTGTCCTGACTGTGGCGAGGACGTCTGGATGGGACAAACATAGTCTGTGGACTCATCCGGCCTTCTCCTCCTGAGGTGAGTCAAGTTAGACAGACCCAACTTCTTCGGCTGCAATGATAAGAAATAAAAAAGGGAAGGGTGTGACTTGTTAAAATGATAAATAGAAACACATCTCACTGGATTGAAAAGAAATGATCAACTGTTCTTGGTCCCACATCTTTGCTGTTTACTTGCTCAGTCTTGTGGACTGACTGCACTCACTGGTGTTGTGGCATAGTGGAGCTTTGATCAGCTTTAGAACAGTGTTGTGGTCGAGTCACCAGACCTCAAGTCTCATTCAAGCCTTGAGTTCCCAGTGCTCAAGTCCAAGTTGAGTCCGAGTCATCGAAGAAGAATCAGAGTCGGAGTGGAGTGCCCATTACCTGAGTCCCACTACGAGTCGAATCCTTAAGAATGAATCTGAGCCGTTAAAAGATAAGCTTCACTTCTCCACTTTGGCACATTCATTAATTTATTCAATCAATTTTTATTTGTATAGCGTCAACTCAAAACAAGTGTTATCTTGAAACACTTTACAAAAAGCAGGTAAAAGACCTTACTCATTGTTATGTTACAAAAAGCAGGGATAAAATGCAGGAAGAGGGATAGGGAGCAAGGGGGTGGAGTATTGAATTATGTTAAATTCTTCCAAGCTGAGCTTTAATCCTACATTATCTGTAAGAATTCTTGTTTATATGTAGCTAGGTATGTGTGTGTGGAGGCTGATTTTATTAATCACAGAGCCAAACTATCATTTATTATAAATGATGTTGTCCCAAGTCCAAGTCCGAGTCATCAATGTGTGAGTCAACGTGGAATCATGACTCGAGTCAAAGTCCTGGGCTAAGTACTACAACACTACTTTAGAGTGAGATGATTCTCTTCTCTCAATGTTGGAGAATAGTTCATTAGGTGGACAGCATGTTGCTCAGTTCCTGCCCAGAGTGTATGTAGCCATCTGTTTCCCCGAACAATGATAAACAGGGTAGAATAAGTGAATGTTGTGCTAAGAACTTGATGCAATATAATTTTTAAAATAAATGTAGCTTGAACTTCACACATATATATATATATATATATGTATATATATATATTTTTTATTGCAGTTGAAAGAAGTTGGTTTGTTGTCTCTTCTAAACATCACATTTGTTTTATGTAGTATAGATGCTTTAGTGTTGCTCTCAATGCATTTGAGTAAGTGATACCAGGCAACAGCCAGAAAGCAGCTTATAGAAATGTGTCCACAGCATGTTTGCTCCTGCTGAGTAAAGCCACTGTGAGGTTATCACAAAGCACTTTACCATACTCACAAAGTCACCGAGAGAATATCTTTAAGATCCACAGTTTTTTTAAGACTTCCTTGAATTTCTTTTCCTCACAATCATCCACAAATGTATGAACAAGTCACAGAGTAGCTTCAGAAAATACAGCCCTAAGAAGAGTCCAAGGTCATGAATCGGTCATTAGAGAGTGTGCAGTGTGATTCAGGATGGATTATTCTTCCATTTCTCATCCTCAAAGCACAGAGGGACTTAGAGCGGGGCTGCCTCTGTGAGGAGGACCAGAGCTGTCTGGGTTTTCTCTGCTCTCACATTATTAAACACAGAAAGGCTCAGAGCTTAAAGTGAGCTGACACACCGGGGTTTCACCTCAGATTAAGGTGCTTTCTCTCATCTATATGCACGCCGCAGCACTGTAGCTGTATGTTTCCTCTTTGCAGCATTGTTGCCTGTGAGTTCTTCCTTTTCTATCTGAACCTGCATATTGATGCATGTGCTTGTAACGTCTTACCTTGACTTTAGCTGTTATACTGAGTGGTGTGTACCCCGGTGCCTCCATGTACTCCCTCTTCTCCTGCTGAGCTTGTACTCCCACCAGGTTGTTGAAGTTGGTGGCTAAATGACGTCTCAGCAGTGTTTTCTGAGTAGGGATGTTCAGCAGCATGGCCATCGTGTCCGAGTTGAACCGAGGCTCCAGTATCTATGCAGAAACACAAGATGCTTTCTTTATTGTTTTTATTAAACCTGCAGATTCTTTTTATTGTTAATCAATCCAGAAACCTAAAGATCTTTAAGTTAACGTCATAAAGTAAAACCACACCTCCATTTACCTGACAGCCTACTTAACACCTGGTCACCTGACCACACCCCGTTTGTCTCAGATCCTTCTACCCACCCTCCCTTCCCTCCTTCTCATCCATTCACCCTCCTTCCTCATCCCTTCCCTCCCTCCCCCCTCATCCCTTCCCTCCTTCCTTATCCAATCACCCTCCTTCCTCATCCCTTCCCTCCTTCCTTATCCAATCACACTCCTTCCTCATGCCTTCCCTCCTTCCTCATCCCTTCCCTCCTTCCTCATCCATTCACACTCCTTCCTCATCCCTTCCCTCCCCCCCTTCCCTCATTCCTCATCCCTTCCCATCCATCTCGACATACGCCTCTCCCTCTGAAGACTGAACCCCCCTACTATGAGTCTCTCGCTCGCCCGATCAACCTCCCAGACCAGCCTGAAAGACGATGGCCATCTCACACCTACACCCCTCTCATACACATACATCTGTCAATATATCTTACAATTCACATTAAATGTTCAAACTAATACTGTTGTGCCATGGAAATTTTCTACTCACTATCAGCCCTCCATGAACACCACTGCCTCTCAGGTTTGGTGCGTACTCTGCCAGATCCACAGATCTCAGCCACTCCATGACTCTGTGGTTGGACCACTGGACCACCTCGCTGGGAGAGAACTGGTTCTGGAAAAGAGGTGCATACACACACACATGCACACACACACACACTTAAACCATCGGATAGTTTGGAACATGTTTGGAATTCGGAAAATGTTTTTTATTGTGTCTTAGTATGAAGACATGATGGATTATACACCAACAGAATGTTTCTTAAAAAATAAATACAGATTTTCATTTTGTGTGGAAGAGAAAAAGTAGATAAACTCGCACCCACATCTCCTGTGCTTACCTCATTGTTGGGCCTGCGTTTGAGGCAGTTAGGGTGGAACTTGTTGACATGGAGAACATGAATGGCACACTTGATGCTGAGGTGATGCAGCTGGCTGGTTACTTTTAGGACTAACAAGTCATTCTGAGATGTGGGGAAGACAGAGAGGTGAGGGCCATGACATAAAGAAAGTGTCTGCATATTTAGTCCTTTCAATTATAATATTTATCCTGAAAAGTAGCTTCCTTATTGCTTTACTTGTCTGGCGTTGAATAAACCCTATATGACCTTTAAAACACATCATCGATTATTACTCACCACAGTCAGATACTGCAGCATCTGCCCATCCACCCTCCCATCATTAAACTGGTCCTTGTACTGAGGGAGGCCGATGTCATCCAGCCAACCTTTGGAACAGAAAAAAAATACAGATTTTATACAGGATTAAAGCTCTGTCTGTTAAGGTTTCTCTTTCAGAACGTACGAGTGACCCAGATGTAGTCTAGCTCTGCAGACTTCTCAGGATGCTTGCTGCTGAGCGTCTTGATGGCGAGCTGAAGCTTCTTCCTGTGGAGCGTGTTCTTCATTGCCAGCTCCTGAAGAAGTCAAAGTGAGAGAACAGACTTGCTTTATTTAAAAAAAAGATTCTCTCATCTTACAGATGACATTACAGGTTCACCTGAGAGTGAGCTACACACTGATGATGAGGGACAGAAAAGGTTTGTCACAGTGTGGAAGGCAAAACTAACAAGCAGGTTGAGAAGTCATGACAGGCGTTGCTGAATACCAAATAGACAGACACACAGCTACACCGAACAGACAGGTGGAACTGAAGAACATCAATGGAATATTATCATGTCAGGTAAAACCGATAAAAAGATAAAAACCTAACCTGCATCATCTATGAAACATTCTTCATACAGAGTAGTTAGTGTCTGTGTGTGTGTGTGTGTGTGTGTGTGTGTGTGTGTGTGTGTGTGTGTCTGTGTGTGTGTATGTGTGTGTGTATGTGTGTGTGTGTGTGTGTGTGTGTGTGTGTGTGTGTGTGTGTGTGTGTGTGTGTGTGTGTGTATGTGTGTGTGTGTGTGTGTGTGTGTGTGTGTGTGTGTGTCTGTGTGTGTGTGTGTGTGTCTGTGTGTCTGTGTGTGTGTGTGTGTGTGTGTGTGTGTGTGTCTGTGTGTGTGTGTGTGTGTGTGTGTCTGTGTGTCTGTGTATGTGTGTGTGTATGTGTGTGTCTGTGTGTCTGTGTGTGTGTGTGTGTGTGTGTGTGTGTGTGTGTGTGTGTGTGTGTGTGTGTGTGTATGTGTGTGTGTATGTGTGTGTCTGTGTGTGTGTGTGTGTGTGTGTGTGTGTGTGTGTGTGTGTGTGTGTGTGTGTGTGTGTGTGTGTGTGTGTGTGTGTGTGTGTGTGTACCCTCTCCAGGTCCGGCAGGCTGGCAGACTGCAGAGTCTGACCACTGGTGACCCAGTGGTGAGCGAGTATGCTGTACTGGCCGAGTCCCATTTCCTCCAGCCAGTCACACACCTGCTCTGTGCTCCATTTAGAAAAAGGAATCTTAATGTCTCTAAAAAAAGAGAGAAAGAAAAATGTTTTAAATGACAGTGTAATCACGTACAGTTTGATTTTATAAAGGTGGGCTCTGGATCATTTTGAAGTCATGTGTAAAAGAAAAAGCCAACATTTGGTTCTGTTACTGTTAAAAATGTGAAAATGTGGCTGTGGTCCCTCAGTGTCTAGATGTTTTGTTTGCTTATAAAGTATTTTCCTGAGGTTTCTTTGAAGCTCCTGTTCAAAGTTTGAAGCTGGTTATGAAACATACTGAAATACAAATATACAAAAACAAATTAACAAGTGTAACTATTGTTATTATTAATATTTTAACTTATTGTTTGAGCCTTTTTGCATTAATTAGATGAGGAGAGAAATGTTGGGAGGAGAGCGTAGGGGATGACATGCAGCAAAAGCCCAAGGTCAGATTCAAACCCACAGTCGCAGCCTCTGTACATGGGGCAGGACATAACCGCTAGGCATCAGCACTAAAGTTGAATTACTTCTATATACTTATTTTCAATGCATTTAATGATGGCTGCGGTGAAGGTATCACATGAGTGGATTAACTCAGACTTCATCAGTTAACACCTCTTGCACATGTACAGGAAACAAATCAGCGACTAGAGGTACTACTTTGTCCACACTGGGCGCCAAAATAGAAACAGAAAGTTCCTCAGAGGAGCTTTAAATTATTCATATCTGTACAATCATTTAATGTATGTAAGTTATACATGTTATTAGAGGTGTTGTAAAAAATCGATACAGTATAGTATCAAGATATTTTGAGTGGCGATACTACAGTATATTGTCTCATGGCGGCCAAGTATCGATATTTTTTATATGATATTTTAGATATGATATTTTAGATATGATATTTTAACTGCTCAAGGGGTTGCACAATTCATTTTGAACAAGTTGCATTCTTAAAGGCTTTATATGTGATTTTTTGATCCAGCAGATGTCGCCCTTGAGCACCAGCATGAAACCAAAACAACTCACGGTGCATTGTTGTGTTAGCATGCTAATGCTAGCGATCATTATTATGCTCGTATCTTTACACTGCATGTAAATTTACCTGAAATGAGCGTGATCTAGAAACACAGTTAAGCAGTGAGTACAGTATGTTATTCTTCTTTTCTCTAGTCCCTCAATTAAACAACTTTTATACACGAGGGGAGGAGTCAGCCGGCCGTCCGGGCGATGTAAACAAAGTGAAGATAGGACTCTGAAAACTCTGAAAACATCACAGACAGTGGGACTCAGGTGTTACACCCATTGTAGACAGTCATGACTCACAGAGTTATTTTCAGAGGATATACTTGATTTATATTATATTTAAGTGTGAAAAATCACATATAAAGACCTTAAGAATTCATGTTAAAGTTCAGTTAGACTGAAATACAAATAAAAAGACTGAAGTGAGATGAACTGACAAAACAGTTCTTGATTTTGTTTAGTGTAGTGGACATAATATGCAGTTAAAAAGCTTAATAGCAATATATTGTATGGCAATTCTCAGTATATCGCAAAATGTTAAGAATTGTATCGTGTTTCGAGTATCCCGATAATATCGTATCGTGGGGACTCCCACCTCTACATGTTATGGTTTTGCTTTAACTAAAACAAGATTCTGCCAAAAACTATTCATTCTTACAGGGTTGAGCTCTATGTACAAGGTATCACAATCTACATTACATCACATGAAGGGAAGTGCACAGTTTAGGCTGTCAAAGCTCTTCACATTCTCATTGTGATTTAAAGGGATATAAGATCAGAGCCGTTGGTTTGGCCATTCAGTTGCTAGAATAAGAGCTTAGCAGGAATCTGAAACATATCTTTTGGAGAGTGTCTATCTGCCTGGCCCTTTGAGATTTTTTTGCACACCAGGATGTGAAAATATGAAGTATGTGTGTGAGTATAGCTGTCTCTTTATACCGTGTGTGTCCTGAACGGGCCAGTCTCGGTCCAGCTGTAGCTCTGAAGCCTCCCCTCTTGAACTCTCCGAGCTCGGGGTCATGACCCTGGGAAGGACTACCTGACTGGCTGCGACGGATCCTGTGGACAGACACAACACTGAAGGATGAAGTTCATGTTGTTAATGTTAGAATTATGTGCAGCACGTTTCCAAATGTTGATCTTTAAATCTTACTTTCCCCAGAGTTTCTTAATGCCTCTGTGATTCTTGCGGTGTTCTGGTGAGACCGGGGACTGCTGTCCTGAGTCCACTCCAGAGGACAGAGGGGACTGGTCTGAGAGAACACTCTCCCCGAGCTTCTCTGAATGCTCTGATTGAAACAAAGAGAGGAAGACTTTCACTGATGCACAAGTTCAGCTAAGTGTGGAGAAATGATAGAGCCGAGTAAATCTGTGTGTGACACCAAATCAAAGTAAGAAGCAGCCCTTTAGATCAGGTTTTTAGATTTAGACGTGTTTCTGAACACATATGTTGTACAAGGCTAATCATGAATATATAGCGTCTATGATTTTAAAGCTGCACTAAACAGTGAATCAAACATATTTTCCATTGTAAAAAGGGGTCTTGTTAAGACAGATTGATAAAGTTTGATCAACCTTTTCTCCAGGTGTCCTCAGCTTTATTAAACTTTTCATACTTTTAGGTTAATGTTTTGCTCTTCTAGTGAGATGACCTTAACTCTGCTCAATACTTGTCAGCCCCCAAACAGCAGACAGTCAACATTAAAGACAAGAAGTTTAAGATATACTCCTCATGAGTTGTTGGAGACAAATCCGAGTGGGAAAATATAAATATTGGACATGCATCTATGAGCTGGAAAGGAAAACATTTGATGAATGCTGATGTTGCTAATGTGCGATGGACCTGTTAATATGAGAATAGAGTATGTATTTTCTTTTTTCATCTGCTTATTGTCTGAATAAATCAGTAAGTGCAGATTCAACAATTTCCTTATTGAGTATCAGATCAGTAAAAATACATTTTAAGAAGCAACTGCTGACCTGTCCCAGTCTCATAGTGTCGTAGAATTATACTTAAACACATTTAGAGCAAACAGTTTTCATTCTCTAAGCATTTAAACTACAATAAATCATACATTAAAAACTATAATAAAGACTACAAGGAATCATCTGCTGCCTTTACACACGGGGTAAGTTCTATTATTTACACATCTCATGCCACGCTCGCTGATCGAGACAGGATGGTAGCAGAGTTACACACTGTGCTTCAGACCCGATACCCACCAACATCATAGAGGTCGTGTTTCCCAGGTGATCCTGAGGCAGAGGAGGTTAGTGAAGTGAGAAGAGAGCCAGGTAGACAGAGAGCAGAAGCAGGTGTTAGTTACAGCCTCTGTGTCTCTAAATGAAGTGTTTTATACATGTCAAATGTGTAAAGTTGCAACATGCATATTAACAAGCCTCAGGCTGGTGGAGAAACTTAGACAGGATTAAGCCTGCTTTGTTCAAACATTGTCAACAGATATCAAGACTAAGTGGCTCTTTGTTAGCCTTTACAAGCTACATATGAGAAGAAGTCACCTGAATGAGGTCATCCCACACCCATTTTCTTTTTTTCTTCTTAAACCTGAAACACCCTCTTTAAGGACCCGGCTAGACTGAAGTTTAACCAAGGCGGTGCCAGAACAAACACCTCATCACATGTAAATAATTCTGTATTATCAAGAGCATCATTTGACACCTGTGCTTTGAACACTTGCTCTTCTTCATCTTTCTCAGCTGCATGTGCTGAGCCTCAGATAGTCAGAGAGCAAGTGCTGCAGAAGGCAATGAGAGCCAAAAGGGGGGGGGGGTGTCAGGTTGCATCCTTGTTTGTTTACTTTTGATGTCTAAGCTCGTTGAAGCGCACACATCCTTAAGCTTGCACTCCTCGCCCTCTCAGTCTCTGATAGGCCTCCTGCTTTAAGCTCTGGATAAGTGTGGGATGATACATGGGTGGCTGTGTGCTTATATGCCTGTTTGCTTTAAGAGTTTGTGAGTATCAGGGAGTGCTGATGCGAGAAAGTCAGGCATTATCTTTTGACAGCTCTCTGAGTCATGAGGGAGTCCCAATAATCCCAGCTTTGGAGTAGCTTGATCCTTGGTCAAAACAGTTACTCACACTGACTCTGCTCACCTCGGAGGTTTGGGCAGTGACAGGGACACTCGTGTTTTATTTGCAGGAAAGCTGCTGTGAATATTGTGTTTGTCAGAAGAAACTTGTTTATGTGACCTTAGAGTCGGAGCAAAACAACATAAGCAAAGTGACTCAGTCCTTCTGAAAGGGTATGTGATGACATTTGGATTTCTGTGTGAGCATACAGTACCTAAAGCCGGAGCACTGGCACTCCTGCAGCGAACTGCAGCCAGAGCACAAACAGAGAAAAGAGCAATCCGGCAGCAAAGCAGACGAGAGGGGGAGAGAGAGAGGGAGGAAGGGCACAGAGAACCAAGCAGTTGAAGCAAAGTTAGATGGAAAATGATTATTATTGCATTGGGTTGTTAGCTTCATTAAAGGTTCACTTAGAGACATACATTACATTTTCATGCAAACAGTTTCAGTTTGAGTCTAAATGCCAGAAGTGAGTGGAAGTTCATTTATAAGGGAAACAGCAGCAAAGGACTGTGTCTTTGTGGTCTCGTGCATATATTCATATTTGTTACCCTACAACTTTCTAATTTGATTTTAGACGTTTTCTGGGAGGTAAATGATCCCTCTATATTCCCCTTTCTCTGCAAACTTGGTTGGGCAGATGGCTCACACATGACTCTGGTCCTGCTTAAGTGCCTGTGGATGAATGTTGGGTCTCTGTAAATCCTATCAAAAGAGTATGATCTAGACCTGCACTTTATGTTAGATGTTATAGGATAAGTTTTGTTAGGATTTGGGGTTATTTAACTGATTTATTATTCAGCTGGTGTCAAAATGTACTCTTACCACAAATAAAATCTGCATGTTCTGCCCTTTTTAAATGTCATTCACAACAAAGATTGACTTCTAATTAAAGTTTGTCAAAACACAAACAAGAGTACCCAACATACTGGGTTTTATTATTATAACTCTTTATTTTTCAAAGGTCAAAGGTCAATGGTATGTCCCCATAGGGAAATTTGCCTGCAGCTGGAAAAACACAATACATAGACAACACTAATAAATAATCCAACTAACGTTATGTGTACATAAAACATGAAACATGTCTTATTGTCTGGTGGCAGGAATCTGTTCAACTGTTACTTTCAGAAGATCTCCTGGTTATACATTTAATGTTATTTCAATGAGGTCATGAACTAAATGAATTTTATACTCAGTTCACCTGGTCTGAGATCAGTTGTAAAGTGTGTGAACCATCACCTTAACATGACAACATTACTGGTTTGAGCAGCATGCTAACTCAGAGATGATCAAATTCTTGCAGTCTGGGAATGGCCTGAGAAAACTCCCACTGACACACACAGAAGCCTTATATTGACAAATGCAAATAGAAACTGGCCAGATGATGATTTGGAGAATTGAATGCCCCTTCTCTTTAGTATTGAGCACCGCTGTAATTTTATCATGTTTTGTCCTGTCCTGTCGTTTGTATGTAAAAGGAGGTCGACTCACTCAGTGTAATCAAATGTACATAAAGCACAAATAAAGTTAATGTACCTCACCATTTTCCACATTCATCTCAGCTGTTCATTATCCATGAATAGATTTCTGTTTCCTGTGTTCTCTAACATGATAAAGAGTAGACCTGCATTGCAACCCAAGTTAATTTAGAGTAAGACATTTGACTTCTTTAATAAAATTTGTTGAACTCAACAAGTTTTCTTTAATACACTGAAAGTGCCACTTAAAAATGAATGTGCTCACACTTATTAACAATAATAATAATAATAATAATGATAATAAATTAGATTTATATAGCACTTTTCTAAATACTCAAAAAACAAAGCAAAAACTAAGAGAACAATACAACATAGAAGTAGTGTCGAGGGAAGAGGATGAGGGTCAGTGGTTGTAGGCAGTGATGAAGCAGCAGATGATATACATCAGGTTTAAAGTGCTGTAGAAACTCACCGAGTCTGTGTTCCTGGTCGTGGTTAGGGACAGGAGAGAGACGGACGGGTGATAAATACTGATCGTCCTCCTCTCCGTCCTCCTCTCCGTCACCGTTCAGCTCAGCCCTCAGCTTGCTCCTTTTGCTCAGCTTCCCAGGCAGAGTCTGGTACTTACTCAGCTCCATGTGTGGACTCTGCAGAGTACATCAAATCAAAACAACTGTAACCTTTTTGTGAGTGGTGTGCAGACTCTGAACAATGTATGAAATCAAGACTATCTGTTACTTTTTCTGTGTGTTCTCCTCAAAACTTCCAGTAAAACTACCAAGATTTATTCCTTTAATTCAAGTGGGACACAGTGTTCTCCATATGGGAACTCAGAGCTTAAATACACTGAAAATGAGTGCTTTTAGAGATGTATATTGTAGTATTTCATGTTTTATCTGCATGTAAATAAAGCATCATCTTTATCTACATAAGGTTAGATGAGAGAGTTTGCTCCTCTACTCTGTTACGTAACACGTGTCCTTTGGAGAGTCTGATATCTGAGCAGGCATCAAAGTCACCGGGGCTCCCAAGAAATAAGAGGAGAAAGGCCAGCAGAAGGAAACAGCTGGGAGGAATCCATGACGCAGAGCACTTCTGACAGCCACTTCAGGTGGGTCTTGGCCCTTTATGTGTGTGTGTATGTGTGTGTGTGTGTGTGTGTGTGTGTGTGTGTATAAACACAGTATGACTATGTGTGTGTCTATGTGTGCAGCATGATCTGTCGAGCTAAGAATATGTGTGTGGATAAGTGCGTGTCTGTGAACGCGTAGGAGTCTTTTTTTTTTTTTTTCCTCAGAGGGAAAAATCAAGCTGTGAACTTTGATGTCACACAGAGAACGGGAGCTCAAAGTGCACCCGGAGCATGACATCAGTTTGACTTGTATACAACAGAAAGGCTTACAACATGTTACAAGAGCCATATTTAAGTGTTACCGTCAAGCTTGGGCCCCCAAAATGATTGAGTAGTGTCAGGGGCCAGCATAAGACAAATAACGAGAGGAAGATTTCTTTCCATCCAGAATATTTTTTTTACAAGAAAAGGGAGAGATTTTTGAGATAATTCCTAATATGCACAAAGTGAATACAATAAATGTAAATCTCCCTCTGCTCATTTATTTTTTTTGTATAACTGAATATTTTAACTGCAATTAAATAAGCCAAATAATGTCCCATTAATCCTTGCATACCACATGCATGAATGCAAGCTTTGCTAAAGTAACAGAAGAAAAACAGAATACTGAACACTGAATTCAAAACAAGTGGACCCCTCCCCTTCTAACTTGAGAACAATAATGCACAAGTGTAGAAAGTTTTTGTGTTTTTTTGGGGGGGATTAGGGAAAGGTTAGGTTGTATTAGGTTATAGAGAAGATCAGTACCTCTGCCCCTACGTCTGATTCTGTTTCTACTGGCTGGATCTGTACAGCCTATAGCCGAGACAGACAACGGAGAGAAGAGAGAACAAACACACACATACAAACACACACACATACATCCCAGAATTAGCAGGTTAGCACTCACTCACCAGATTAAAGAACATCAGAGTTTATTTGGGGGGAAAACAAAGTTAGCATGCATGCTAATCAGCAACAGCAGATGAAGCATTTTGAATGACATGTATGGATTATATTTGTATTAGATGGCAGTAATAAGAAAAACAACAGATATGATATTTACATCAACAAACCTTTTGTAAGGATCCACTCTGCAGCTCTTCCAGACTGCTGGAGAGCAACCTGCGCTGATGCCTGAGGAATAAAGAAGTGTAGAGTTACAAAAAGAGGAAAGGCTCTGCCCTCATAGAGTCTGCACCGTGTTGAGGACAGCTCACACTTTAATGCAACTGAAGTCACCAAAACAAAAACATGTATTTACCACGAGCCATTAAAGAAGCTTGGATCCCCAGCAGACACCAGGGATATGTCCAAAGGGTTCTGCATACTACAACACAAACAAAGGGTTACGTGATCAAGTCATAACATGTGTTTGTGTGTATGTTCCTGTGCTTTCAAATGAGAATACCTAAAGTCCAGCTCTCTCTGGTACGGAGACGAGGATAACATAAGTGGAGAAGATCCTCTGGATGATATCTGTGAATAGAAAAAACACATTTGTTTTTTTAAAGTTCTTTAGGTGATGACTCTGTGTGTTTTTGGGAAAGAGATTTCTGGGACTGAATCTGGTGTGAGGATTGTTGTAAAAAAAAAGAGATTTCACACTTTATCATCTTACCTCTGACCTGAGGATATCAGAGTGTGCTTTGTGTGTGATGGCTCTGAGTCCCAAACTGCCACTCAGCTCCTCTTCACTACTCCCTGGTTGGTAGAAAAAACAGAACAGGGACAAAAAGGTGACTGGACCGATCTTTCCTCCGAACTAAAAAACTAATTTCAGGAAATTGGAAGCTTGATCCAATGGCAACTGGACTTGGTTGAAGATCTTGAAGGAGAGGTGAAACATCTTCAAGATCTTCATCCACGTCCTGTTGCCTTTGGATCAACCTTCAAATGTACCATAACCTGGATGACCGAGAACCGACACAGACAAAGAAAAGGATGTCATTCTTACCCTGTGTGAGTGCCATGACATCCCTCATCTTTCTGTACTGACCAAGCAGAACGGTCAGCTCCTCAATACGTCGGTCCTGTTTGCAGGAAAACACAAAACAAATAAAAACAAGGTACCTATTTCTATCTGAACAGATCTCCAGCTGGACAGTAAAGGAAACTTTCATTTACCTTTTCATCATTTGAAGCTAACAAAGACTCCATCCCGACCTTCAACCTCTGGTATTCTTGGTCTAAGAAAGCAAAAAGAAAGTTATGAAATGTATTCACTTGGACTCACAGTAACTTCATGTCTTGTTCATTTAGGGAATCTGATGGTTGCCTGATGTAATGTTGGCGACAGTCATGACATCCATGCTAATATGAATAAACAAGCAAAACAAACACACACTGACAGCGTGACTGTGCAGACACCATCACCTGCAGCTCATCATGCTTCGAACTGTGTTAAATAAAACAATCAACATCTTCTTATGTACATCAAATACCAAATGTATACAGATAAGACTTTAACAAACAAACACAACACAAACCTATACCAGATATCATTCAATATCCTTTCAAACACAAATACTTATCTTAAAGGGTAAATCCACTCATTTTACACATGAAGGTCAAAGAAAACTTTTTAAAATTATAATACAAGCTGTAAAAAGAGAGCTTCTCTAGGTCTGGAACAATAAATCAATGATGTACTTGTCTTGTCATTTATGTTATTATAGCCAAAGCATAGATTACAATATTTCAAAGAAAAAACTAAAAACATTTTATCAGGTAGGAAAGACCAAAGGATGATATTTGATGCATTGTGGGAAATGTTAGGTAGCAGTATTTCTTTAGCTTGGCCAATATTTTAGGACTTAATGTCAGGATATGTTGGCTTGTGAAGCGTCCATAATCTTAACTCTATCTCTGTAAAGTCCACCGTTACGCTTTAAGAAATCCCTTTTTTCAATTGCTAGAAAACCATTTAAGATGTCTGACTTATTGCAATCATGAAAAAAAGCTAAAATGTTTGCCAGCACTGACATATATAGAGGTTTAAACAAGCTGATATCACAGCCACTGAGAATTCTTAATTCTGACTGGCTAAAAGTAATAATAACCAGGAAGTTTAACTCAACACCTAATGTATGACGCAGGTTTATATTTGCATGTTGCAGCATTATAAAAATGCAGATAAAGACAGCATCGCTTTGGCTACAAAGCTTGGAGCTAGTGCAGCATGTATACCTAAAAACAACCTGTTAATATAAAAGCATGAGAGGATTTCTAAATGAAGTTAGCTACACTACAGCTGGTAAGGTAGAGAGGATTATAGAGCGTCCGACTGTTTTTTTAATGTGTCTGTAACAGAGGGATGCTGCCTGAGTGAGAGAGAGCAGCAACATTATCTCACCTGGAGACAACATTTCAATAACATCGATGAAAGGATGTGGAGCTGTTTGATTATGAAGAGCCAAATGCTACATTTGTTTTTCTACAGATTCCAAAAATCCTGGTTTTTTTAATACTTGATGCAAAACATAAAATGAGCTTTTTAAGAACAGAATGACTTGATTTTATTTCACATCATGGTAATCATGGTTTCAAGTGGCTATGGTATAATCACAATAATACCCTTTAAGTATTTATATTACATGTTGCTCTGCTAGCCAGAAGTTTTGAAAGGATGTTGAGTCTTATGACACTTTTGTCAAGTGAAGCTGGAATGTTACATACAACCAACACAAACTGAAAGCGACGCTGTAGTCCGATTTTAAACCAAACAATCTGCTTCCCAAAGAAGAGAGACCCATTATCTTTAACAAACGAAGTTAGCACTTACAGTTTTGATGCTGCAGATTTGTTAAGATTTAAGACAGAATCAGAGAATCAGAGTTACACATCTTGAGACAAGAAAACAGAAGAATATATTTCTATATTTAAATATTAAGAGCAGGGAAGTTTGGTTGAAAATTGGACCCAAAAGGACAGCCCACCATGCCTTACATTTGTTAATCAGATGCTTGATATACACCTCCTCTACAGCAGAGGCCAGCAGAGAGTCAAAGGAGTTAAGTATTCAGCAGAGGAGAGAGGGACATGTTGATTAGATGTTACAGTAATCAGAGTTGACAGACATGCATATCGCTGGCTCGCACACATCCGCACTGACACATTTAAATCCAAAGTGACTGGTCTGACTGTCAGCTTCGTGTACCTCTCTCTGCGTTGTCATTGGCTGTGCCACCTCTGGTCAGCAGCTGGGTCTGCAGGCATTCGATTTCAGTGTCTTTGGATGAAAGGATCTGCTGGAGCTCTGCGATTTCTGCCTGTGGAGGAAGACAGAGGATACATCTGATATGTCAGTCTTCCAGGTCACTGGATATCTACAAGTGGAAAAGGGGTTTAGGGGACTGGCAGAGTTCTCTAGATAAGCAGAATATTAGTTCTGGTTTACTGGATGATGGGTCTCAGAATGTAGACTTTGTATGCATGTTGATGTTGCATGCCACATGTACACTTAAAAATAAAAGAGGTGGAAAATGTAGTTAAACCATTTGTTTTGATTTAGAGGGTTTTGGAAGCTGTTGACGATTGGAAGTGTATATTTCAAAACCATAGACCTGTACACCAGGATCACGTGGAGCTGATGTCCATCACCCAAACAAGGAGGGCTAGGTCATCGTGTAAAAACTCAGCTTGTTGAGCTTCACATTACTAGCATGTTGTAAGAAGGATATTGTACAAATTGCCTTCTTTGAGTTTTGGAAAACAGAGGGCTAGATTTATTTTGGACAACCAACCTAATCTCCGTTGTTGATACAAACATTCATAATAAATAAAGAGACACAGCTAGTGAAGTAGCACAGTTGCAACTTGCACACAACAGGTGTCAAACAACAGGTGACTATAAATTCAAACTTAACACTTCCTGCAGCCGCCTCACAATAAAAGTCTGTGTGCTGAAGTCGCCTTGACTACAAAAAAGAGTAGATAAGTGGGATAAGTGAAGAGTTATCGAATCCATATTAGATTTTAATATAACCTAAATTAAATATTTGAATTTGTTAATGGTAGCACTTTACTGCCTGTTTGGGTTGTCACTGTGATGATTCAGTTTGGGAGCAGACTTGAAGAGAGAGCAGTAAAAACTATATCTAGTAAGGTTTTCACATCTAGAAAAATTCAGGCAGGCTGCTCCTGAAATCTTCCTGACATAACATAAAAAGAACAATGCAGAGGTCATGTACGAAGCAACAGAGTCCAACACTCTGATGAGAGTTTTTTGAGAGTTTGACCTATTAATAATGTCAACAAAAGAGTGGAGAAGAACATCCTGTTGAGAGAGAGAAAACATAACGGAGCAGTTTCATTATGTCCAAGATTGCATTGTTTGCACACTAAACAGTCTATGGTCATGCCCCTGTTGCAGGATATAAACGTCATCACCCCCTCCCAATTGTTTGCGGTGATTTTTTCCTGATGTACATTTGCTCACCCGACTAAGTGTGGAAAATTTCCTAGTTGGCTTTCAGAAAAAATCCTGGGTGAAATGGGATTGCAAAATCTGTCTGTTTGTGTTCACACATGTAGCAAGTATTAGCCTAAATTTTGAACTTCAACAATGAATAAGTGAGAGTAAATGATCCCAGCTAGCAGTGTAGTTAAAGGAGCAATATGTAACTCTGACAGGAAACGTTTAAAATTGGTACTGTAGTGCAAATAAAAAAATGTGTAGAGATCTGTCCCCCCCTCCCCTCCTCTTCCATAGAGTCTGTGCACATGTGGGTTAACTGAAGCTTCAGTGTTTAGCCAACTCTGCATCTGTCTTCAGATCTCTCTGTGTTCTAACCTCTCTCCATTTTTCAAAAGCATCTCCAAAACTGATCCTAGTTTTACAGTGTTTCTGCTCGTGGAGCTTATTAGAAACATGCAGAGGCTTTTTAGGTCACGTAGAATCAGATACAAGTTCGCTTGCCCGCTTCCATCGCTGCAACACCTGTTGACCTGATAACTGGTAGACACAGGGGCGTCCTAAATTGGTGTTTGGACCCAGGCCCAAATTGTAGTAAATTAATGTTTTTAGACAGTTCCTGATGAAATAGCAAACAGGTTAGAATGTTTCACACATATAGTGCTCCCTGGGAAATGCAGTTTTTAGATTCATTGTGATTTGAGGACCTGAAAAAAGTCATGGTACACCAAAATGATGAAATTTTGATGTATATACAGGTACTTTTTCACAGGAAGTGATTTAAATAAATTGTTTAGCTGTCATATGACAAACAGAACCAAAACACAAAGGATCAGGAGCAGTGAGGAAATAAAAACTGCAAGCACAGCAAAAGAAAAAAAGAAAGGAGAAGGCGAAGAGGCAACAGGACAACAATGTTGGGGAAGGAGGGGCAGAGGGAGGCAGAGCATTAGCAAAGAGACTAAGTATCTATTCAGTGACTGGGAACAAACGCAGAGAAAAACGAGCGACAAGAGGCAGCAGATAAGGATGAGACAGAGAAAGAGGAGGCACCTGTGCGCCGCGCCAGCGCTCCTCCCAGTGCTGCTTCTCCAGCTGTGTGTGCTCCACAGTCAGCTTGAGGCTGGACAGCTGGGTCATGAGTGACTGGTAACACACATGGAGAGAATAAGAGATGGAGAGCTAGAGAGAGCAGAGACACAGGAAGAGAGTAATGACAGGGGGGGATTTGGAGATGAGCGGAAAAAAGGTGAAGAGAGCGAGATGCAGAGAAGGGTTAGTGGAGAGGAAGCGGAGGGGATACAGATTCAGAGTGAAGGAGGGAGAGGAGGAAGGAAGCACTGTAAGCAGAGAAAGCAATGGCAGTTTGACCTCCTTTAAATCAACCAATGACAAATATTATGTCAGAAGCAATTCTTTGTTTATCAAAGGATCTTTAACGCGTGCTTGTCCTTTTCCTATTCATGACTTTTTTTAATGTTCCAAAAATCTATATGACAAATGAACAGTATGGCATTATGCAATATGACTGCATAGTATTATACTGTAGTATTGCCTCACTTTATGTTCCTGTAATTACTCAGTTTATCCCTCCAGTCATGACATTTCTTCTGAGCTTTGTGTTTCAGCTGAAGGTCAATGGAATGAGTGTTTGAGCCACCATTGACTACATGTATGTTACACAACACAGTTTGTTTCTTAGCTAAATGTTGCTTAGTGCTGTGCTCATGGTGGCATTTTAAAGAATATAATAAAGAGTACAGTCCAGACATAAATGCATTCAAAGTGTCTTGAGATAACATTTGTTATGAATCGACATTACACAAATAAAGACTGCTTGATTGAGTGCTTGAGTGAAGCACACAATTTGTTATTTAATGCAGCATGTAGTGACAAAGACTGTAGCGATGTCATTTATGCTTACAGGACTCTGTGAGCTGTGAGAATGATCTAATATAATGAGACCATGTTTACCTTCAGCTGTATTTCTTTTCTTTTCTTTGGATATGCTCAGTACATTGCACATTACAAACTCTGTCACTTTTCCATTCAGACAGGGTGGGAATCTCTAACATAGATTACAGTAATACTATACTGTAGTTATTTTCCAACAGAGGCTAGTTGTAAAACACACAATTTATCATTTACATGTTACATTTTGTATGTGCATCCAGTTGATAGAGATACCTTTGTGCCTCTCAGTTTCCTCTCATACTGGCCCTTCTCTCCCTCCAGCTCCCCCACTTTGCTCTTCAGTTGCCTCACTTCTTGTATCAAATCCTGCAGCAAAACAAAACACAGCCTCTCTTTAGTGGTCAAACAGTCAAGTGGTTGAGTTCACCTACTGGAAAACCATTAATATTGGTATAACCTAAATCCCAACAAAAGAGTTGTCAACATCACCCCACTGCACACATGCTTTGTATACTGTATATGGGAGAGTATTCAAACATGGAGGTTCACATTCAGTGCAGTTATAAAGGTCTGCAGGGCTGGACAGAGCAGTGGTTAATATCAGAAACACCATCCTCCTGAAACTGCGTGCAGTTATCAACAACTAGGAAAAGGATGAACCTCAGGACCCAGATCAAGAGTGACAGCCGTACAAGCTGTACTTCTGCAAGCCGCACTTCTCCATAGTCCACAGCATTACATATGATTACAGTTACATGACCCATCCACCTGGTCAGTGTGGGAGGAAACAGACAAAGGTAAACATTGTTAGTTGAGGGAGGAACCATTGTCATGCAAGTAAACCACATCAGATCAAATATAAACCCAAAAGCCTGCTCAGAATACAATTTGAGAGGATTCATGAAGAGATAATTCTGATCGAGGCTGAAATGTGTTTTCACAAATACTTCAAACACTTGAGGGGTTAAGATAGAAAGCTGTTTCTAAGTAGCTATACTCCAGCATCTACAGAATCGTAGGCCATATTCCTTCTTCTTATTACTCACTCGGCTTTAATAACACTGACCCCTCAAAGACATTGAAGTATTTGGAACACCACTCAAAAGTCTCCATATCTGCAAGAACCAGAGTAGTGCAAGACCCCAGACTCCTGCAGTAAACACTCAGAAACACTACAAGAGAGGCTGTTAGTTTGATTCTGTGGAAAGATCCAAATACCGGGTGGTTTGTGGACTGGTTAAAAGAGGAGAAGGGAAGGAGAGAAGTAATGATGGGGGAGGGAGGGGAAGAGTTCATCCATCAAGTCTCCCTACGTGTACAGTCTGTCCTCCATTGTGGATCCGGACATCAGAGCCAGACGGGCTCCGGTCTGAGCCGGCTGACCCGACCTGTGGGCTGTGGCCCCGGGCTTGGCTGCCACTGGGCTCCCCCTGCTGGGACCCCCTCTCCTCCAAGGCTCGTTTCTCCTGGATACGCGTGCTGATCTCCTCCTGAAACTTGCACATCTGCTCCTGGAGCTCACTGATGAAGTTAACCACACACTGGAAGGGATGGAACCATGGAGGACAAATGAAGGGCAGTGAAGGAGATGAAGTGGTGAGAATGAGAAAAGAAGAGGAAGACATACAATAAGTTGTAAGAAGAGGAGAGGAGAGGAGAGGAGAGGAGAGGAGAGGAGAGGAGAGGAGGAACAGACATAAAGTTCTCTGTTAAGCTAGTCAGTATTCGGGACGACTAACTGACTAAACAATAAAGAAAACAAACAAAAATGTGATCAACAGATTTTATCGTAATCAATTGCAAAAATGATTCCAGGAGAGAAAATGGTGTTTTCAAGACATTATTGAATTTGTGGATGAGGAGGGGTTAGAATAATCTTATATTAAGAGGAAAAACATGTTGCAGTTACAACACTTCTGAGGAATCAAAAGTCTGCTTCCCCCTAATAACAAACATACACTTTTTGTCCTGCGCATTATGTCAACAAAGAGATATAGGTAGGGCATTGTGAGTGATGACCCGACATGCAGAGGTGCAGGAGAGACAAGCTGCAGCGTAAAACTCAGCATGTGTTTTTGACTGAACACGGCATCTTATGTTTTCTCAATGCTTTGTCACACCTCGCAGCTTGTACAGTATCACACCTTCTGTGATTAGTTTTGTGGAGATGGAGCTAAAGTTTTATGGGGCTTGTTGTTTGTCACACTCAGAAGCACACAGATCAACATCTGTCAGTTTAAAAAAAACTACACAAACTCTTTTGAATGGAACGGTGCACTATTGTTGTTGTTATCATTATTCTTTTACAAAGAACATTCACTGATGTGACCCGTCTTTCAGTGGATCATTGAAAAAGAGAGTAAACACAGACATCAAGTGACAGAAGAACACACTTTAAATGTGTTTGTGTATGTGAAACATACCATCATGTCTGTAACCTAGGAGCTTTCCAGGGCTTATTATGAAACCTTCTTACAGCTTGTGAAATAAATGACAAAGTGCACGGTCAGCCATTGAAACACCTTGTTCCTGAAAAGCTGTTGTTTTAGTGATTCAAAGAGTTCAGCAGACAGCAGTGAGTATGTGTTTGGTCTTGGACTGGTTTCCTGAGGTGAAAGTGTTTGGCTCTCAGGAATGCTCAGCATGGATGCTTGTCATTCCTCCTGCCAGCCGACCGGAGCCTTGCAGCTGTTACTCACCACACACACACGCACGCACGCACGCACGCACTCACACACACACACACACACACACACACACACACACACACACACACACACACACACACACACACACACACACACACACACACACACACACACACTCACACACACACACACTCACACACGCACTCACACACACACTCAATTTGCTGACAAAAAATGTAGACGTGTCAGTTGCCATCGTAACCAAGAAAAACACTACCTCTGTAAATCAGTACAGCGGATATTTTGGATTTAGGTACGATGCATGTGCATAACACACTGTATCTTATTACTACACCAACTTAGCATCAACTTGTCAAGGTTTAAACAGCTCTGTTAGACACCAGAGGCACAACTGATTTTGAGTTTTAGTTGTTGAGGCCATCGACAAAGATATACAGGCCCAGAGAACAGCTGACAATCAGACAAAAGGTAAAGAATATGTGAGGATCAGACCAGTTTGGAAGTTCCCTTGAGTTGTAAAAGATCTGTCAAAGTCTGACTATGAAGAAGAGTACACAAAAAAATGAATATTGTAAATTCACACCTAAAAAGAAATGTAACCAAATATCATCCCTAATTTGTTTTCAAACTTTACCTGTTGCACTTGATCCTCCACTTTAGCATGGACGCCTACAGTATGGTAACAATTAAAGACAGTGGCTGGCTGACATCATGCTCAGGCCTTGGGGAGGCTAATGTTTGTTGGTCAGTAAAGGAGAAGCCTGAAAAACTAACAACTTTGTCTCTCATGCCCATTAGCAAATTCTAGCATGGCAACACTTTACTAAGAAGAACATATCAACCTAGCAGCTGCTTATCATTGTGAGACTGATAGCATGCTGATGTTAGTTATCATTACTGTTAGAAGTTGAAGTACACAAGATACTGTAGGTCTTGGTACAATAGCCTTTTTACTTTTTTAGATTTTATTTTTGGGCCTTTTGTGCCTTCACTGTAGAGACAGGGCAGTGGACAGAGCAGGAAACCAGGGAGAGAGAGAGAGAGGGGAAAGAAGCCACAGGTAGGACCAGAACCCAGGACGCTCCACCTTGAGGGCCACTGCCTCCATATATGAGGTGCGCTCACTAACCACTACCACTACACCATTTTCAAGACCCATTTTCTACTCAGTCTCCAACAAAGACAGCTCTGGATTTTATTTTGAGACCAGTCAAAACAAAGAGAGTGAAAGCACTAAACTGCCACTGCATTGTCTGATTTAAAGCATCAGTTCAACTGTTAACTCGACTTATTTCTACATTTTAATGGCTGCCTTTTTAAAGTTCTTGTATGGAAGTTCTGGTTTGTGTTAAACTAGTCTCACTGGTTGCTAAAGAGCAGTCAGTCTTATCTCTTTGCTGATCTGAACCTGCACATGCAAATATAATGTTTTCTGATGGTTTGGTGTTTTCGTCATGCTCTCACTACCTTACTTCGTCGCAAAAAAGAACAGACAATTGGCAAAAAAAAAAAAAAAAGTTGCTCTGCCTGGCCATGACAGCAACAGTACGTTACCTCAAGACTGGTAATAATGACTTTATTACAAGTCATCAGATGCCAGTGCTTGTTGGTTTCCAGCTCTGTTAGCTCCTCCCACTGGTTTGTTTCAGAAGCCAATTGTATTATGGTAAGGCAATCAACTGCTTAATGTGGTTCAATGTCCAGAAAGTAAATTCAATCCTGGTGTTTTTTTAAATGTATTTTTGATGATTTCCTTTGATATTTTTATTAGAACATCAATCCTTCAGAACAATATAAGGAGGGCCTATTGTTGGCATGTTTCACAGTTTCACATGTCATCCAGTGTGTGAATAGGGGTGGTTGGACTGACTTATTTTCTCCCATCCTTTGTCTTTGACTGAGACTCTATTCCTCAAAGTCCTGGTTCTGTCTTGGTCTCTATACTCTCTGGACTTGGTTTAGTTGGTCTTGACAACAACACCACGCTATACTATACTAGGTTTTAGTGTTTAGGTTTTAGTGTGTGTGTGTGTGTGTGTGTGTGTGTGTGTGTGTGTGTGTGTGTGTGTGTGTGTGTGTGTGTGTGTGTGTGTGTGTGTGTGTGTGTACAACATTTATGGTCATGGAAGCCAAAACAACAGCACTACAAATATTTGTAGTTTCCTACAGAAACAAGACACTAAAAATGATCAATTCAAGGACTTTACCCATTACAACCTATTTCTTTTAATAGAGTCCTGGACAAAAAGTACTTAAAATAAAACAATCTTCCCTTTTCTGTTTGGATCAGAATCTTGGTTGCATGTTGGCTTTGCAGTGGCAGAAAATGTTACACGAGGAGACGGATCACATTAAGGATTTCAGAGGCGGTTGTCCCTGACAGTTCCATCCTGCAGGATTTGTAGTGTGAATGTCCTGCATGTTCACTTTGTGTGGTGTGCCTTGCAGGACAGACAACAATATTTCCACAAAACATCCTGTCATTCCTTATCTTTTCATGTGTCCATCATTGTCTCTCAACATGTCCCACCGTTCCCTCTCTTCCATTTCTCCCCACACCCCTCGGTCCTCTCCCGCATGTCGAGCCTTCTTGTCACCACCTCTCCCTCTCTGTCTACATCCGCTGATGCTTATCACGCTCCATCTATGTGTGTGTGTGTGTGCGTTTCACTGATGGGTGCAGAAAATAGGCCTCTGTGTGTACTGTATGTGATTTTTTTTTTAATCAAAGGAAGACCATTGGTCCTGGATGCTGTCAGAAAATAAAAACCACACACATACAAATGCACTAATAAAGAGGGATAAAACTAAAGTCGAGTTTGTAACTTGTGGTGCCAGTGTGGAGCAGCTGGGTACAACAATGAACAAAGTCTACACAAAGAAACTACTGAAGACAAGCATGGCAAATCAACCATTGTCTGTCTACTGCTTGTGTGCAGCATTCTTAAGTGTGTGTTTGTGTGTGTGTGTGTGTGTGTGTGTGTGTGTGTGTGTGTGTGTGTGTGTGTGTGTCTGTGTGTGTGTGTGTGTGTGTGTGTGTGTGTGTGTGTGTGTGTGTGTGTGTGTGTGTGTGTGTGTGTGTGTGTGTGTGTGTCTGTGTGTGTGTGTGTGTGTGTGTGTGTGTGTGTGTCTGTGTGTGTGTGTGTGTGTGTTTGTGTGTGTGTGAAGTTAGCGAGAAACATATATGTATGTAGCTGTTTGTACTCTAAGTAAGATGCAGCACCAAGCATTACATTATAAAATAGCTCTGACATTCACAGCATCACAACAACATGCACTGAGCACACACTCACATGTAAATATGAAGTGGATGCAGACTCACCCCTGAAAAATGAAGCCAAATCTGCTGAATGCCTTCTTCATTGTGTTTGGTTGTACAAAATAAACTTTATATGGTCACCACTTTTTGATAATTAAATTAGTTTGAAGTCTGATTTGGGCTGGCCAATTAAACTTAAAGAGTATCACAGTTGATTGATTGATTGATTGATTGATTGATTGATTGATTGATTGATTGATTGATTGATTGACTGACAGTGTGGCTTTAAATAACAGAGGGACCTTGCCAACCAAGCTAGCACTAGTATTAGCTCCTAACTTCATGATTGCAAAGCTCAGGATCTTCTCCATCTCTGCCTTTTTTTCAAATATGATCATTACAGAGGCATGATGCTGACAGCCAAAACACCCAACAGCAGACATCCAATCAATGGGTCAGGGTTGCTACATTTATTTATTTCACTCTGTGGTAGTTTGTCTTCTGGTGGAGAACGCTTTAATGCAATGTGAGACAATTTTTCCCATTGAGGCAAACAGGCCTAATCTGGAGTGAATGGATGTGGCTTGATCAGGTCTAAATAACAACCAGCCCCCCTACTGTCATCAGACCTGACTCAAATGTGGTTCAAAGAGTAAACCACATTACTTTAGCAATAAAGTAAATATTGTGTTTATGTAGGAAGACAACAGACTTGTTTTCAGGACATTTTAGAGACAATATTCAATTTCAAGGCAAATTAGATTTGACTCAGCATTATTCTATAAATGTCTGCATAACTTTTAGGAGGATGGTTACTTTTTGAGGTGTTGACTTTATTGTTTTATGAAAGCTGTTTATGTGGCAGGCAGCTCGCTGCAGGGTTGTAACTGTCTGGAGAGGCCAGTTGATGTGATCTGGCTTGTTTCAGAGACTTAGCGCTGGAGCTTGAATCTCATCCAAACACATTTCATTCTTTTCCTCTGCCAGGGGAGTTGAATGGGGTGTGTGATCTTACTATTTGTTTACAATTTGTTTATCTATAGTGACAGATCTGACTAAGATATAGTGTTAAGACAACCTTCCATCAAATTGTTGGATTTTGGATGTCATTTAATTTTTTTTTTACCCTGTGCTGGCAAAGAGTGGAAAAATTCATCTTGTGGATTTGTTGACCACAGCAGCTTGTGTTCAATGTTGTTAATATTTGGTTTGGCTCAGAGACGGGGGGAAAACTTTGACACCAGACAAACAAATGACAAACAGCATGTCTAAGAGATATAAGAGTAGCTCAACTTGACCCTAAATAATCCCTTGATTTATTTTCTCTAAATATGAAAGCAGTATCTTCTTCAGAATCTGTGTTTGGAATGGACTGAGGCTTTTTTAAATAACAAATGATAAATCACCTCTTAAAGTCGTGCATTGTAGGGGGGATCAACTTCTCTTTGGAGACTAAACTTTTAGTGACAAATGTGTTAATGCCATTGATATGCCAAACAAGCAAACCACCAGGAACAAGATTAAAGTATAACATTCCTGACAATCCATTAAAACGCTATCTAGAGACCACATATATATTTTATTAAGATAAATTTGACTTCTATTTTGACAGGAAATTTCATGGAGGCACAATGTTTCATATTCAAGATAGACTGGTTATGAACAAAAGAGATAAACACAACATCAGACTGATCAGAACTAAACCTACATCTATGCTGTTCAATTCTTCTCTCACAGAAAATGTTAAACAACATGAGTATAGTGTTACGTATAGTTCTGTAGGGTCAGACGATATTACCCTTAAAGACTTTATATGCGATTTTTTGATCCAGCAGATGTCGCCCTTGAGCACCAGCATGAAACTAAAACAACTCGCGCTGCATTGTTGTGTTAGCATGCTAATGCTAGCAATCTTTATTATGCTGGTATCTTCACACTGCATGTAAATTTACCTGAAATGAGCGTGATCTAGAAACACAGTTAAGCAGTGAGTACAGTATGTTATTCTTCTTTTCTCTAGTCCCTCAATTAAACAACTTTTATACACGAGGGGAGGAGTCAGCCGGCTGTCCCGACGATGTAAACAAAGTATAGATAGGACTCTGAAAACTCTGAAAACATCACAGACAGTGGGACTCGGGTGTCACACCCATTGTCATGACAGTCATGACTCACAGAGTTATTTTCAGAGGATATACTTGATTTATATTATATTTAAGTGTGAAAAATCACATTTAAGGCCTTTAAACAATTCTTCAGTGTATTTAGTCAGAATCGTAATACATGCATAAATGTTGTTTGTAATCTCTTCTATAAAACTTGGTTTACATCCCAAAGGTTTGATGATTTAGTTTTTCCATGTGACTGATTCCTGCATTAAAAATGTTGTCGTTTATGATCATTAGTTATTCCTACATAGTGTTGCTTAAGTTCATGAAAGACCACTAATAAAAACAGACTTCAAAGCAACAAGTGCTTTCAACTAGAAACCCATTCATGCTGATCACTCTTGCTCTCTCTCTCTCTCTCTCTCTCTCTCTGCCTACCTCTCAGTGTGGAGCCTACTATATACTGTATGCATGTTTCTGCTTACTTCCATTCAGGTCAAGTAACCTCAGTCGTGCTATTGCTCAGTAAGTTGAGCAGTATATGCATGTTTAATATAAAGACACACACACACACACACACACACACACACACACACACACACACACACAGGTTTATTGAATTCCCATACCTCAGCCTTATTCTGCTCTGTCTCTGCGGGCTCTTTTGTCTGTGTATTTGTCTCCTCCATGCTGACGAGCTTCAGTTTGAGGTACGACACCTCATCCATGAGATCCAGCTTCTGAGTCTCTAGACAGGTCCTGCTCATCAGCTCCTTGGAAGAAACACACACAACTCGGTTATTTACAGTAAAAACAACACTTTTAGAAAACCACAACTGTAGAAAATACAAACATCAGAGGTTAAGTCAACGAGAAGTCAGCGTACAACTCCACTCCATACAATGTTCTTCCCACACTAACAGAACAGGCCAGGCTGGGGGCCCAGACCCCTCAAAGCTAAATATACACACTCACACAGGCGAACCAGGGACTCTATTAATATATCACTGTGCTTCTTTGGTATGGGAGAGAGGAAAAAGAGTCTATCTAAAAGAGAGAGAGAGAGACAGACAGGCCATCGAACATGAAGAAGTGTTTCTCTCTGACTCATAGTAAACACACAACTCTTAGCCAACCCTCAGCGTCACTGTTGCTTTCATTTCCTCATCTGAGCAGCTAATCCCACTTCCTCTACTCTGAATGAAAAACTTAAGTTGCATTGGATTGTTCTTTAAGCCTCTGACACCCTTCTGTTTTAAATCATTCTTGTTGAGATGAAACTTGTCAGAAGGAAACGGGGGAAAAACTTGAGCCTGTGAATAGTCTCCCCTGAGTGAGATAAACCAGATCTATGTGGTACAGAGAGACTATGATCCATTCTTCTTGTTGGTATTTGAAACAAACCAGAAATGTAAGTCCTTTTTCATTTGATTGATACAGTGACAGTTTAAACACTTCCTGTATCTTTTCCCCCCCTGAGGTATATATCAACATGAATAATAGAATAACAAAGATGAAATCGCTTCAGACACTTTTTTATGATTCATAAAACAGACAGGTGTGTATATTCATGATAACAGGTTCTGTGAAGATGCTGATTCACACTCGATGTGTTCAGGTATGATTTCATTATTTGGTCATGAACTAAAGAAATTGACTTGTTTAAAATTTTGACTTGATGATGAAGTGGATCACCAAAGTTCAGATTCATCCTTTAGGCCCCATGTGTGTATAGCTTTAATCTTAAACTATAATTAAATCATTTTTATTATTCTAATATATGAACACACTTTTGTTTGGTATTGTCTTGTACTGATGAGTATTTTCCATCCCTGTTGTTTTAAAATCTTTCTGTCTGAAGGAAGTGTATGTTAATAGGTTTATAGGTGTCACATTTATTATATCACTGACATCTCCTTTTGACCACAGACGTATAGCATACTAAAGAAAAGATAACATATGTCAACACCACAGCCACAGACAGACAGCTAAAACCCCATAATTACTCCAGCTCAGCAGCCCAACACATATACACACACACACACACACACACACACACACACACACAATCTGCTTAGTTAAGGCAGATGACTGTCAGTTTGCAATCTAACACCAGTGTCACTTACAGCAGGATAAGCTGCAGTCTTTAGAGGTAATTTATCAGAACTCTGTGGCCAAGGCCCACAGCTCAGCTGCCTGACATCTGCTTTACTTTAATCATGAGAAGCAGCATGTGACAAATTATCATCCTCTCCAGAGCATTTATAGATCTCTTTAAAGAGGCTGCAGCCATTTGTGAAACTGAACTCTGGAAACCTTTCTCACTTCTCCGGGCAGCTTTGGCTCAGTGGAAGTCGTTTGTCTATAAATCAGTGTTGGGGGGTTCTGTCACAGCTCCTGCAGTACAAATGTTGAAGTATCCTTGGGCACGACACTGAACCGTTAACTGCTCCTCTTGGCACAGCCAGCAGTGTTTGAATGTGTGTTAATGGGGTTAGTTAGTAATGATGGCCTCTGATTAGCGGCCCCCTGCCATCAGTGTGTGAATGGGTGAACGTGACATGGAGTGTAAAAATCACTTTGAGTGGTAAGGAGTCAGTGCAGTCTATTTACCATTCATGTTACCATTAAATCAGGGCTGAACCTTTAACTCTTAACATTAGAAGACTGTCATCAAAATTAACTTTCTGAAAGACTTTCAGTCTCCAAAACTATGTATTATACATGTGTTCATTATTTTCCCAGCTGGCATTAGAAAACAGTTTGTATCTGCATATGCTATCTGCAAATTAGCAAACAAATCTAGAAAAAAATCTTTAAGGATACCTTACTACGCCTCTTCCTGATAGCAAAGGCAACAGGTTAAGCTGTACCTTGTTTGACCTGATCATGAATATGCTAGGATTGAAAGAAAACAAAATTACTCGGAGAATTGCTGACCCTGATTTAATGTTGATGATTGAAATCAAAAAGAAGAAAACGTTATGCATCTATACATTCATTTCTTCTGTGCCTGTCCCAAGAGGACATGTAGTCAGAGTATGACTTTATGTGTGGGTGGATCCCCTCTAGCATGAGAACACAGAGAGAGAGAGAGGGAGAGAGAGAGAGAGAGAGAGAGAGAGAGACAGAGAGACAGAGAGACAGAGGAAGAGAGAGAGAGAGAGACAGAGGAAGAGAGAGAGAGAGAGAGAGAGAGAGAAAGAGAGAGCGAGACAGAGGAAGAGAGAGAGAGAGAGAGAGAGAAAGAGAGAGAGAGACAGAGGAAGAGAGAGAGAGAGAGAGAGAGAAAGAGAGAGAGAGACAGAGTGCTGACTAAGGGCTATTTCTTATTAGATTAGTTGTGGTTCCCACAGCATGTAGTAGCCTTGCGGCACAAGAACACGACGTTACATAGCTATCTCTCTTTTCCCCTTCGCTCTCAATCAAACACACACTAGAAAGTGACAGTGACACAGACGGAGGGCATCAAGCCGTTAACATGATGTCACCTTTTAAATCCTTCAAACTTCCTTTCTTTATATTGAGGATAATTAAGAGTAGCAGATTTGGGAGATAACAAATGTGTAAAAAAGCAATCGTACCTTCATCCCTGTCAGCAAACATCTCATATCACCTCGGTTATTTGGACAGCTGTCATTCGCTTTGAAAGGGAACAAGCAGACAGAAAGACACCCACCCACACACACACTAACACAAACTGAGACAACAGCTAAAGATAAGTCCAATAAAACCTTCAGAATGGATGGATTGTTGGTAGGGGCAGCCTGCTGCTATGGACCCCCCCCCCACCCCTTTCTGTGTCTGTTTTTTTAGAAGCCCAGGAGGTCAAACCATCATAGGCTGGACTCTCCAGTAGACGGAGCTCCCCCGACCATCAGTGAAGTGATCTGGCACTACCATCCAACGTCCCTGACTCCCAGCCACCACCATAAGACTGTTTCATCCCCTAAACCACCGCCGTCCTTATTCATGCACGGCCTGCTCCGACATCCACCTCAGCGGCGAGGAAGTGTGGACAATGGGAACGTGAGGAATTCAAAGGAGAAATCCTACCTGTGTCTTATTCCGTCTCCTCCTATCACATTTTTCTTAACAAAGAGCATGGTCTTTTACCTGCTCTTTTGTAAAGCATCTGGAGATAACACTTCTTATGAATTGGAGTTAAACAAATAAAGACTGATTGATTGAGAGAGAGTCAGACCTCCAGTCACCATAAGGAGGGTCAGGTTTAGTGGAAAGTGGAGATCTACTTTCAGTTTAAAGTGGCATACAGAGAAAACAACAATGATTGCAAAAATTAAGGAAGGAAACTGCATCTATTTCACTGTAACTGCAGCATGGTATATATATATATATATATATCATGTTTTACAGTAACAACTGGTACAAACAGAGAGCAGGATTGTGCAATAAATAAAGAAATAAACAAGAGCCACTTGTGACTCCTGCATTTTTTTTCATGGCCGTTCTTGTTCAGAACAGACATCATGGATTAGTGGATTACAAAAGCTGAAGATAAACGTCACAATCCTGGTGTAAAACTTATTTTGGGTCTTTGGCCTTTTATCCCCTTATGTCTTGACAACAGGGAGTACAAAGAGCCTTTTGAGGAGTCCAAACAGAGGGTTGATTCTGTGATACACAGAGATGTGCTCTTGTTGTTCCCAGCCTGGCAGATCTCATGACCTCATTACTGACATCAAGTAAAACAGCTCCAATGTCTTGAAGATGTTCAAACTTTCAATTCCTTAAACCTGCAAGTAAGTTCAAGTTTGTTCTCAAGTTAAAAAGGTGTTGATTTGCTCAAAACACTCCTGTGCGTGAGGCTGTTATTAAACCCTTTAGTACAACCCTGTTCCAAAAAAAGTTGGGAAGTTGTGTAAAATGTAAATAAAACACAGTGTGATGATTTTCAAAGCATAGAAATACAACTTATCTATTGTTGAAACTGAGAAATGTGATTCTTTTTTTCGAAAATGATATTTCAATCCTAAATTTGATGCTAGCATAACGTTTCAAAAAGAGTCTGGACAGTGTCGTGTATCAAACTCTGTTGCATCACCTCTTCCTGTATCAACACTGTATGCATTCTGGGAACTGAGGAGACCATATGCTGTTATTTTAAAGGTTGATATTTAAATGCTAATAGTATCACCTTTTCCAAAGTTTACTTTTAGTTTAGTGTTTGAGCTAGTTTGCTTAAAAGCACTAAAATGAAAAATGTCCATTTGTTCCAACCATTAGCAGAATAATGACCCACAGAGGCTCCTCCAGTCAGGCTGGACGTATGGGCTGGACCTGAAGAAACCTTTTGGATTACAAATGAAACCTCTTCAAGAACTTGAACTAAGTCTAGTTTCCTTGTGGCTCAAGCTTTGAATGACCATGAACTGGATGAAAAAGGGACCATCACAGACTTTTGTCTAATCCTGTTTTGACCAGAGAGGACGGTGTGTTGTAGTGTTGTGACCTACAGCTACTATTTGTTGTTGTTGGTGTAAAGCCCATGACATATCAGGACAGGTGAGGACTCAAAGCAGGTCGACATTATAAAGTCAAACAGGAGAGCCCTAAACATGGCCACTCCTTTATTTATTCATTTCCAGCAGCACCTTACTTCTACCAGCTCGTCTGTGTCACACTGTGTGCATCCTGTCTGACTGCTGACAAAAAGGAAACATGCTCATGCCGTTACAGGAACATATATCACATCATGTCTGAAGCAACATTTAACTTTTATAGCTGCTGTGCTACAGGCACTATTTGTTGGTGTGTGTGTTTCGGAGGATGTATGTATTTATTGTTTGTCCCTCTTCTTCAGGTTTTGTAGTTCTTCCTCTCATCTCACTCTGTTAGTGTGTGTAGTGTGATTGGTTCCTTTCTGATCTTAACTTGTTACTTTAATGTTAAATTAACTCATTCATTGACCTCAGAAGTAAAGCCGCTGTTGGTAACTGCTGTGTTCAGGCTTTGACCATCAGATGCTATGCCTTATGCAAAACGGGAGGGTCTGACCTCTGGAAATATAGTTCTTGACTTCTAAACTTTTTTTATTGTTTTTCAATGAGGAACATTTCAGAACATGTGTTTGTATTATTATGGGAAACATTAAATTGTTTAGTTGTTTAAATAACCACTCAAACTGAGTCTAAACTGTGATCAGTGAACTGAGCCCTGATTAGTCTGTGATCTCTTGTAAAGATGGAAAGGCACTTTTTTGATTGGGCCTGATTTCTTCCCCCCCAGTTTAAAACCTCCGACTAATTTTAGGGTTGGCTAGAAAAACCACCAGATGAAGTTGTTTTGTCCACAGTGTGAGAGAGGCGATCATAAACTAGAAAATTGGAAACCTATAGAAGAAAGAATTTGTAAAACAAGTAGAAATAGAGGTCCACTTTGTCCTCATCTGCCCGCTGCATGAAGCTCCCTGTGCCAGGTGACAGCAGCAGAGCCACACAAGGATCTAATGAGACTTTGATTAGCATAAGAGCCACAATGTATACATTTAGCAGCTCTTTACTGGTTGTTACTTTATGAGACAAAAGGTCTTTGGCAATAACGGTTGTCACCATTCATGCCAAAAAAGCATCTAAAACTTGAACCTGAGAGTCTAGTGAATTACCTGAACAAACAATTTGCTTAAATTTCAGTCTTAACAGAACCTGCATAATAAAATAAAAGTGACCCCTGCTCATCTGACAGATGGATAATACTATATGCACCATCCAAATATCTGCTGCTGCATCATTTCTGTCTTCTTTGATTTCTGTTCATCACATAATTTCACAAAGTAATGCCGCGTTTAAGGGTGTTCAGGACAAAGAGTCCCTGTGAAATCAACCATCAAGTGGTGAGTTAAATATTTCTGAAACTTGGCATTTTTGCTGACATCTTTACAAAGGGCAGAAACAACATAAGTTGAATACTGGTGAATGATAAATACAGATTTTGTTGATTAAAATGTCTAAGAAATACAAGAACAATGCATTGTCAAATAAACAATGATTCCTATATTTGGTCTCTGTCTTAGTTACTTTGTATTTCCAGCATTATTTTTCCACACACTAGTTTTTTGGTTTGTACATCGCTGTTTCCTTTTCATGGTGCTTTCAAACTTGAATACTGAGCACAAAGTGGACTGTACTTCTCAAATTAGGAGGGCCACTCGACAAGCCCCTCTGGGTTTATTTGGCTCCTCCAGCACATTTCTTTCAAAATGTATATTTTGTTAATTAACTAATCATTATGTACTGTCTGTTTTTCCATTGATCTATTATGTTTATGTTTTTTTGTGCAATAAAAAAATAAAAATAAATGATGGTCAAAGTTTAACAGGATTTGTTTTTAAGCAGCAAGAAAGTATCAGGAATGTTTTATATCACCAGGAGGTCTGTGAATGATCCCATGCATGTTTTATTTAACAGAACCAGTAATATACTGCCATCTTAAGTTTGAGTCGAAATTGTTAAAAGGCTTCTGTTGTTGTTCAACACCATCAGGTTTACCGATATATAAGGTGTGTGTGTGTGTGTGTGTGTGTGTGTGCGTGCGTGCGTGCGTGCGTGTGTGTGCATTACCTGTTGAAGCATCTCCTCTGTGGAGGCCAGTTTTTGTCGGTGCTCCTCCAGAGAACTTTCCAGGTCTCTGATCTTCTCTCCCTGAGCTTCCACCTGGTCAGTCAGAACGCTCACCTAATGGGAGACACATTCATTATCATCAAGTCACACACTGCTTGAGCAGAGCTAAACTGTCCAACAGCAAAAAAAACACCCCATTGTTATCACATACTGAAGCCAACGCACACATGCATGAATGAACACACACACTCACACATACAGGATCATTTATCTTTTGTCAAATACCAAACTTCACACAGACACGAATTCAAATGTCACTTTATTCCTGCATCATCATCATCATCATGTCTCTGCTCTGCTTCACACTGAGCACAAACACATTCATGATGCTGGCATACCTAAACTCTAAAGCACACACTGTTTTCAGCAGCATGTCACTCAGGAATGTGTTACACATTTACTAAAATCTCCCTAACAACACACTCAAAGTCAAGTGAAACAACTTTTCTCTCACTTTCTCTCTCACACACGCACACAAACAGCTTTTGATGTTCTCCTGTTCTCCTAAACTTTGCCAACTCCCTTTGACAGCAGCTGATTTTCTGTCACTTCAGCTTCCCCGACTTTTACCCTTGTAGCCACATCCTGTCTCACCGTGCTCAGGCAATAAAGCACCTCCTCTAAAGTGTAGGGCTCAACATGTATCAAGATCCAGATTTCAAAGAAAACAGAGACGTGTGTGGTCACAGGGAGGAGACAAGAGAATGATCAGGAAGAGTGTGTCAAGAGATTCCTTGCAATGACTCTCTGATCCATGAACAAGTAAATGAATGAGTAACATTAACTGTAAGAATGCTTCATCAGAAAAAAAAAGTAAACTACTAATACGCTATATAAGGGTGTACTACCACAAACATTAAAGACAATGCATGACTTTTAAACAGTAGGAATTCACTTTGTTGTAAACAAATACCCTTACCTCTCTGTGCTCTGCTACTGAGTTTCACACACACAAAAAAAAGTGAAAGTTCCTTACTGCGTGACAGAGTGAGCACATGCTAACAACTTAAATAACAAGTTCTGAAAGGTGGAGAGAAAATAGCAAGCAAAGAAACTTGAAGATGGGAACCAGTCAAATCTTCTGTCAGGAAAAATAAGCCCCGGTCACCTTATATATCAGCCAATCACAGCAGGTCTCCGTTGAGGAATGTGTAACAAGTAGGCGTGTGTGAGCATTGGAGGAGGTTAGACATAAAATATGGACTCTTTGTCAACTTCATAAAAAGCGTCCACCAGGTGGGTGATGCACTTAAACATTTAAGTAAGATAAACTCACATAGACTGAGAGTGGAAAACAAACACAAACACACAGGTGATGAGAGCCTGAGGGACAGTTTAAAAACAGTGTTTGAAGGAGGAGGAATGTGAAGGCTGATTGTGGAAATCACAGCTGTATGAAGCAGTTATTAAAATGATCTAAGAGCACAGAGAGCCTGTTGACACCATGCAGGGTACAGGGTTATAATCTTCTGCTTTCCACGCAGAGCTGTTGGTGATAGTTACTCAATATGCCGTCAGTGAACGCATGCAAAGACAGTCTGAGGTGTCGGGGCATGTTTTGTTTTGAAATAACATGAAAAAGTACAAAGATAAGAGATAGGTAACGAGCTTATTTACACACAGAAAGGATGGAAAATGACATAAAATACACAGAAATAATCTTAGAACACAACTGAACTGAACATAAGTGATTGAAGATGTGATTCCAGTTGATTGTGATGTTTACACTTGGTTTTGGCAGGAGTGGAACCAGACAAAAACAACTCTGCTGTTTTAAATTCAAACAGTTGTCTTTTTTTTACCTTTATTTAAACCCATAACAAATGAGGTTGACAACAAACATTGGAATAAAAATGATCACAAGTTCCCAGTTGCAAGTGAACCAGGGACATTAAAGGTCATGCACAGGTGGCTGTACAAGCTCATATGCAATGCTGCGTTTTAGGTTTCTAACAGAGGCATTCACTGATACTGGTTTTGTATGACAATTACTCTAAACCAACCATCACTGTGAATATACATATATGTATATATATATTATTTAATTTAAATGATAATATACCGTATTTTCCGCACTATAAGGCGCACCGGATTATAAGGCGCACCTTCAATGAATGGCCTATTTTAGAACTGTTTTCATATATAGGGCGCACCGGATTATAAGGCGCATAGAATAGAACGTGTTTACAACTGAACAAGGCTGGGAGATATTGTGAATATATAAATATATTAGTACTAAATATTTAGTGCATTCACAATAACTCAACGTTGTTCAAACGTTAATGTGCATATTCACAATATCTCCCAGCCTCGTTCAGTTGTAAACACGTAAAAGAAACACAGTCTGATACCGCTAATTCAAACGTTAGTGCATAACTCAACAATGTTCAGTTACGTATAACACGTAAAGCTCACTTTTTCAGTTCATTCCCCGTCCACGAATCCCTCGAATTCTTCTTCTTCAGTGTCCGAATTGAACAGTTGGGCGAGTACGGCATCCAACATGCCCGACTCCCTCTCGTCATTATCCGAGTCAGTGTCGCTGAGCGCCGTGTACAACCAGTATGGATCAACCAATTAACCAATTGATCCATATATAAGGCGCTCCGGATTATAAGGCACACTGTCGTTTTTTGAGAAAATTAAAGGCTTTTAAGTGCGCCTTATAGTGCGGAAAATACGGTACACACACTTATTTATGTAAATACTGTAATTGACATCTTAATTGACTCATCTGTCACATAACTGCATTTTACTTATCATGTTACTTCATCATCTTTTGCACTATTCACCACTGTACTGTTTCATATTTAGTCATGTAAATATTAGTCTTTTCTTATTATGTTTACTGTTGATATTTAATGTTGTACCTGTACATAAGAGAGCACAGTTCACCAAAGTTAAATTCCTTGTGGGCCATACTGGCCATCTGATTCTGATGTTAGAAAACTGTCTTTGGTGGCTCAGGTGGTAGAGTTGTATGTTTCTCAATCATAAGGTTTGGGGTTCAATCCCCAGCTCCTGCAGCTACATGTCTGATGTGTCCTTGGGCAAGACACTTAACACAAAGCAGCTCACACTGCTTCATTGGTGGTGTATGAATGGATGAGTTAATACTGATGGACACTTTATAAAGCAGCCTCTACCATCAGTGTGTGAATGTGTAGGTGTGACCTGCGGTGTAAAAGCACTTCGAGTAGAGGGAAATTTAGAAATGCGCTATAAAGTTATCATTTATCATTTAATTTGAATGTGGGCTTTGATTTTCTGCGACTATCTAAGTAAAGAGAACTTGTTCGAACCGATTCATGCACTAATGATTTACACTTCAGAGAAACAAACTGTGAAAGAAGCAGCAACAGCCTCAAAAACAATGACACACACACACACACACACACACACACCTGTAGCACCAGAGACTCCTTGTCTCCCTCTAGGCGAAGCAGTCTTTCTTGGTAGGTCTCATTGTTGGCCGGAGTGCAGAGGTTCACCTGGTTAAAGGCACAGAAATGAAAATGAGTTAAAACAACTGAGTGTTACTATTTGTAAAGGGAATTTAAGCCATGTTGTGTGAAGAAAATCAATCCCTAAAGTGTAGCATCCACCAATCCAATATGACTGAATGCCACTTAGAAGCCTTTCAGAAAATGGTTATGTAGCCATTTTGCAAAGTACAGGATGCAAAGGAAGACAATTGTAGTCCAAGCTGACGTTGCCTGTTTTTCTGTTATACAGTTATAGAGTGTAATACATTTATACAGGCAGATGTGATGTTGGTCCACTGATGTGCAGGACCAATCTGGGCACAAAATGCTAACACACTCCTCCTGCACAACTAAGGAACAGAGATGCTGCTGTTCACATAGAGAGATTCCTCTGAAAGCACATGATGAAGGGTTATCAGCGATCATCTGACTTTACTGACTCTCACTTATCCACTGTTACCACAGCATGAAATGGCAACATGTTCTCCACAGCTTGTGAAATGATTTTCACAAAACCAAACAACTATGTCCACTACAGTGGCAACAAAAATGTCTAAAAAAAAGCTGAAATGGAAACTTTTTTAAAAGCCAGACGTCCTAGTGAAAGAGAAAGAGCTGTGTCAGGCTCTGTCTAGGAATAGCAACCTCATGTTATATAAAATTGCACCAGCACGACAAAGCACTGATTTCTTTTGGTCAGATGGTCAGATGTAATTTTGCCAGTTTGGGGGTTCATACAGCTTTTAAGAATATGGCAGAAAAATGTGTACTGCAGCTCAGGATGCAAAAAATAAAAAAAACAAGCAAGACTACTTTAAATGATGTTAAGCTTAGATGATGTAGTAAATTGAGTTTCCATTTCTCTCTTCAGAGTCAGATTATCCTGTCTTTGAGTGTGTGTGTGTGTGTGTGTCCAAAACTGCTGACTCCTCGGCCTGCTGCTGCTGTTAACAAGGAAACTGAGAGAGAGAGAGAGAGGAAGACATTATCTGGTCGAGAAGCCTGGACATTATAGGAGGATAGTTTCTGCTTCTCTCAGCTGCAGAGCAGACGAAAAGCTCAACAGTCGCCACATAAATCAGAAACCAACAAATCTCCAGTGCAACATGCATTAAGTCAAAGCGTAGTTCATCATATTATAAAATGAAAAAAAAATACAAGTCTTAAGAACTTAAATATTCATCAGACAAACAGACTGGCTTCCTTGGACTGATGATTTGGCCAAGACATTTGTTTTCTTTCCTTAAGGAACAGAATACAGTTGACACATTTATTACAGTCATATTGTCAAGAAGATCTTAACACGTTTTTTTTTTTACATTTTAAGAATATTTTAAGATGAACACATGTTTCTATGTTCTCATGCAAAACAGATCTAAATACTCTATGTGCATATACTGTAGTTGTTGAAAGCTGTTGCCCATTAAGACTCCCTTAAAGTCATCCTCTAACTCTGCAGTTCAAATTAGCTCTTTGAAAATGTTTCAGCTCATTGGTTTTACAGCCTGCAACTTCACTGTTCCGGTTGAATCTTTCTCGAGAATCCACCTTGTTTTCAAAAAGCTGTTTCCAAGGAAGCTCTGATAACCTTTTATATGCCACCAGCTCTGCCCCCAGCTGTGTCAATGATTTGCTTGTGAACAAAGTGGAGCATTTAGCAGTTTAAAAGGCAGATGTGTCCCTCAGGAAGTGTTGAAAAATCAGACCAGAACTGATGGAAGTGAGTCATGGGGTTACACCATATCAGCCATAACATTGTGACCACTGACAGGTAAAGTGAATAACCCTGATCAACATGTTACAATAATAATAACCATATGTATATAGACTTGAACAAGTAGAACAAGTTACAAAGTGCTTTACAATTTAAACAAGGCAAAATAGTGAAAACAATATTACCAATTACCAATAAATAAAGGAAATCAAACAGATAAGACCCGAACATCAGTTTGAAGAAGACATTTGTTTGAAGAAGACATTTTAAAAAGGACACTGCCTGCCTGACATCTCAAGGCAAGGAGTCCCTGAGGTGAGGGACTCAAACTGCAAGGCTAGGTCACTTGTTGAGACCAGTCGAGTTTAAAGTAGAAAATTTTCGGCTTCAAAAAAGTTGAAAATTTTCATGAAAAATTTTCGGCTTCAAAAAAGTTGAAAACAATTCTGCTTCAAAAAAGTTGAAAATTTTCATGAAAAGAATTCTGCTTCAAAAAAGTTGAAAATTTTCATGAAAAATTTTCGGCTTCAAAAAAGTTGAACATTTTCATTAGAATGGTCGTGCTGGAAGATCAAGGCAGCGGTCAGGCTCAAAGTGAGTTTGCAAATCCCAGATATAGGGTGAGGCCTGGCCATTTAAAGCTTCAAAAACAAACAAACCTCACAGGTAGCCAGCAAAGGGAAGCAAGGACGGTGTAATGTGGTCAGTTCTCTTGCGAGGCGCTGAAAGCCTGGCAGCAGTGTTTTGAATTCTTTGCAGACTTTAGATGTTACGCTTGCTAATGCCAGAATCAAGAGCATTACAATAACAGAGTCCAGAAAAAATAAACACATGGTTTGATCCCCAGCTCCTGTAGTCCATGTTGAAGTGTCCTTGGGCAAGACACTGAACCCCACAGCGTTTATGGTTATGAGAGTCCAGAAAAGGATAACATGTCCATGTGCTATTTGCAAAGTGTGAATAAGAGGCCCTTCCTGTTGTCAAGATGATGACCCAGTTTTGAAAGCAAGAATGTAAACATCTGTATTCAAAGCTTTTAACTCAAAGTCTTATCTGATGCTTACCATAGAAAAAAAACTGCGGAGATTGTAGAGCAAGATTCAAGTTCAAGGTTCAAGACCACCTAAAGCGATATTTCACAAATATTTCCTTTCCTCATATCTTATTTAGAAAGAACAGTAAAAGTTAATACAGAATGGACTGCTCTTACATGGTGCTAACTATTCATTCACTTCTGACATGCCTCATAAGGCACCATCATAACTTCAAACACTATAGGACTTGTCTTTGGGAGCAATTTGGTCAAAAATACTTTTACATGCAAAATGAAGAAGTATAGGATAGAAATGCAGATTTTACAATAAGTGGACAACCAACTTTATGAATACCATGTTGAAGCTACTGTGAGGAACTTTCAGTTTGCTTAGATTCTGGCAACCCCCTGTGGACAAAGCAACGCCTTAAACAACTAATAGTGCTGTCTTTTTACAGTAAATATATCACTCACTGTGAATATTTGCAGTGGAAAATAAAAACAAAAGGCTGTTTCTGCAGCATGACGTAACTCACTCTGTCAGACACCAACCGCAGTGGCCATGGTTAAAAGTATTACACATAACCAAAAAGCAATTATCAATGTTCTTGTAGAAGTTTCAACCTTAGCTTGTCAGCCCAAAGTATAAGAACAATGTAACACTAACTGAGAACTGTTTATCCAGGAACACAGACAGAAGACCTGAAATTCATGTCAGCATGTTATCCTTGATGTTCTGTCTATAGCTGGGGTCATTAAGTTCAGAGTTTGTATACTGCAGACAAAGACCATATGGGCACATTGTACATATTAACATTCTGTACACTTGAAGTAAAAATGAGAGGGAAGGAGAGAAGGAAAGTGTGAGATTAAAAGAGAGTTAATCCTGTTTGGATTAGCTGTCACTAAATGTACCAAAAAGAGCAGTGTTTGTCTGAAAGTTAACTTCAACTCATATTATTTATTTTGGCAATATGGCTACACTGGTTTTCAGTTTGTTACTCCAGTGGGAGAAGAGAAGAGAGAAGTATTTGAAAATATGTTGTAATCACAGATATTCCCATCAGACTGTAGAGAAGCAGGGTACTTAAAAGAGTTGATAAAAGGGACCAGGCTGGTTCTATCTGTCTGTCATCGTCTGGTGGATTGCCCGGGTCAGGGAGGAAGGAGACAGTGTGTAAACTATACACATATTGTTACATACAGTCCATGAGATGTAGTCGGATAGAACACAGGTCAGATAATCACTGCTGTGGACATTTTTTAAAGACTGATGACCATACAATTAGAGTCAAACAATATTAACTTCTTTCTTCAACAATGTCGACATCCTGCAGCTATAGAAGGTATAATGAGAGTGCAGAAGTTGAAGCTGTAAACATTTTTTCTAAGAGAAGCCATCTGGACGGGGGGATTTTTTAGGTCTCTGAAGCCGGGCAGTTTTTTAAGTGTTGGAGCTCAGTCCAGTGGAGTGGGAGGGATCCTGATGACATACACGACTGTTCATGATCCAACTGTCTATAAATCCATGACAACATACAGGACAGCGCCTACTTTTAATGACTCACAAACACGTTCTCTATTGTAAATGTGCAGTACTTAGGATATCATATACTGTATCAGATTCTTATATCCAGTAACTATGCCGAACCCCTTCTATCTCTGTTATAATATTTCTCTGCAACCTGAATTTCTTGTTGTGAGTGAGGCACTCAAACATGTTCTGTGGTAGAAAACAACATATTGTTACATTCATTGGTGCTTATTTAGCGCTGTGTGTCAGTTTGATTTGGTCCTGGAGCGTGTGGAACACATTAGCTCGTCTCTCGAGTCACACCACTGTGTCTCTAAATCGAATCTAAAGACGCTGCCATAGAGATTACTGACTGAACACAGCTTGACAATGAACAAGTCCTGTGAACTGGGAGAGTGCATTCCAAGGAAAATTGGTGGTATGGATTTCTAAGGGGTGCAATACTGCCATATTATTTTTTTCGATTGAGAATAAATACTTAAACTACACATGGTTTAATTGTCTTGATATTATAGGAAAATGTTAATTCCTTTTATCATTTTCTCAGCCTGCACATACAGTGCAATGATGGTCTCACATGGACTTTGACAATTATAAATGCAGACTCCACTGACAGGATTGCACACAAAGTTAAAGTAATGCATATTGTTAGTGTGTTATGTTAGACTATGACAGTTTTACAAAACTTGGATTTTAAAATTGCTATCTGTTTCACATTACATTGA